TCTTCGAGGCTGACCATACTTGTATAGACTGGTTCGAGTACCAACCTCATCAGACGCGATAGGCGCTGGCCCATTGCTCGAACCAGGTGAAGGAGCTATACAAGGTCAAGTTTCCCCACGATACCCCTCGTTTTAGGGATATGAAGAACTAGGCCATTGGATTGATCAACAAGCACAAGAATCTACAAGAAGCTATGTCTGAGCAATTCGACCTAGCCACTCAGAAAGAAACTGAGTCTGTCCGCGAATACGCTGCGCGCCTAATCCAGTACCAGGGCCAGATGAAAGAACAAGAACGGACAGGCGATATTCAAATCTACACCCGGCTTCGTAACTCGGTGTTACCCTCTATCAAAGAAAGGAGGGAGCAATTCGACGTCCAGAGAGAAATAGACCTCACAGAGTATATCGACCATCTCACTGCTGTCGAGAACAATATCCCTGCCCGACGACTGGCCCTGTCCAACCGAAGGAAGGACGCCAAAGGGGCTATTCCACCGGACCGGGGAAATCAGCCCCAACCACACACTTTCGGCCGTAACCCTGCCTTCTGGACCAAAGGTCGAGGACGAGGAAGGGGCAGTTACGGATCACGACAGGATCCGACACCACGACATAGCACTTCGACTGACCTAGCCAAGAAAAGAAAGGTGCAGGATGGCGCCTGTTTCAACTGCGGAGAGATAGGCCACCTCGCTAGATCCTGCACAAGGAAGAAGACGGACCTCAGAGCCTCCACCGTCGAAGTACCAAAAAATGGACAGCCCTAGTGAACCTTGCCGCAATCGCACTCGGGGCCGCCAAGACGCATTCAGATAGAGAAAAGGCATTTGTCTGCGAAGCGGTTGTTATCCTGGCCGACAGGGGCATCCCTGTAAGCGTCCTTGTGGATAGCGGCGCAGAGGCAAGTTTCGTGAACCAAAAATGGGCCAAACAACACCTCCTAGATAGCGAAGCTATACCGCGGACGGTCAGGGCCATCAACGAATAGACTGTCCGGTCATTTGGAGCGCACGAGCTACTTCTTGAAATAACCGACAGCGCAGGAACTATTCGAGAAGACCCTGTTACGTGCGAGGCAGTCGAAATCCAAGGGTACGACATAATTCTTGGATACGACTAGCTCATCTCAGCCAACCCCGACATCAATTACAAAGAACACACGTGGAATTACCGTGACAATGAACCTACGCAGCTCCTCAGGATATCCGCCGCGGTATGTTATAATGAGGCTGCGCTCGGAGCATTCGTCATAGCTGTCTACCCACGGCCATCGGACAAAGATGGCCTAGTGCCGTTCTTCCACACAGTAATTGACGACGGCGAAACCATCCCAGAAGCGTATAGGGACTTCGAAGATATTTTCAGCGAGGAAGGCGCGGACAAACTGCCCCAGTCCACACATTTGGATCACGCCATCGAACTAGAGGAGGGCGCCTAGCCACCGCACCAGCCAATTTACCCTCTCTCCCCGAACGAGCTGGGGGTGCTGAGAAACTATATTGATGAAATACTAGCCAAGGAATAGATTCGGCCTTCCCAGAGTCCAGCTGGCGCACCAATTATCTTTGTCAAGAAGAAGGATAGGTCTTTGCGGTTATGCGTGGACTATCGGGGTCTCAACAACATTACTATCAAGAACCGCTACCCCCTACCGCTAGTGAGCGAGACAATAGACCGACTATCGGGCGCAAAAATCTTCACCCAGCTAGACCTCCGGGATGCCTACTATAGGATCCGAATCAAGGAGGGAGACGAATGGAAGACGGCGTTCCGTACGCGATACGGCCATTTCGAATACACGGTCATGCCATTTGGACTGGCGAATGCCCCTGCCACATTCCAAGCGTACATCAATAGGGCGCTTTGTGACCTCCTCGACCAATTTTGTGTCGTCTATCTAGACGACATCCTGATATTCTCTTAGAACGAGGAAGAGCATGTCGAGCATGTTCGAGAAGTCTTTCGACGGCTACGTACCTACCGGCTATACGCAAAACGTAGCAAGTGCCGCTTCCATACCGATTCGGTCACATTCCTTGGGTTTGTGATCACCCCAGAAGGGGTAAGTATGGAAAAAGAACGTGTCAAAACCATACAGGAATGGCCTATCCCTGAATGTGCGTTCGACGTCTAGCAGTTTATAGGGTACGCCGGGTTCTACCGCCATTTCATTGAACGGTTCTCAGCTATCTGCATACCCATTTCGGCTACCACCCACGGCAGAACGGCTAGGAAAGCCAACCGAAAGAAAGACGGGTTCTAATGGACTCGGGAAGCGCAAGACGCGTTCGAAAGGCTAAAGAGGGCCTTTACGGAAGAGCCATTCCTCCGACACTTCGACCCCGAACTAGCCCTACTAGTCGAGTGCGATGCGTCGGGGTTCGGACTCGGGAGTATACTAAGCCAGTTGTTTACGGATGGGGGATGGCACCCTATTGCGTATTGGTCTCGGAAGATGATCGGGCCAGAAACCCGGTACGAGACGCATGATTCAGAGCTATTAGCTATTGTAGAATCATTCAGGCAATGGAGGCACTACCTAGAGGGTAGCAAATTCCTAGTGAGAGTCCTGACTGACCACGCTAACTTACGCTACTTTATGACCACAAAGGTGTTAAGTGGGCGGCAAGCAAGATAGTCCGAATACCTTGCGGCATTCGATTTCGTTATCGAATATAGGTCCGGCAAGAAGAATCCAGCGGATATACCTAGTCGGCGTCCGGATTACGCGCCTAAGGAAGGCGAAACTGCGGATAATTCAATGTTACCCACATTACAACGAAAGATCCGGCAGAGTTATGGGGCTGCGGACCCTAACGAGATACCATTGATTAGTAGAATCATAGTGAGCGGAATAGATGGACTTCTATTGCCGCGCCTACGTCGGGTGACGACCCACGAAGGCCCCTCACGGACTAGCCCTGTCCTCCGTGTAGGAAGACTGTCAGCCGAAGACCTCCAGAAGAGAGAACAGGCGCAGTACGGTCAAGAGGACTAGATCGACTCAAGCAGTCGAATGCCCCGTCTGCTAGCGGCAAAGGCTATAGACGGAATAGGGGCATATCCAGACTCATTGCGACCCTCACTTATTGAGTTGATCAAGTATACGCAAGCGTTGGATCCCGTTAGCGTTGATAAACTCAGTAAGATAGAGGGACGGGCGCATAAGGATGGGCTAGTTGGACTAGCGGGCACAGCGTGGACCAAGACAAATGACGGACTTTTACGCCATGGCCACCGAGTATACGTGCCGAATGACCCAGCCCTACGGCAAGAGATCATAAAAGTGCACCATGATAATCCGCAAGGGGGGCATTATAGGGAAAAACGGACTCAGGAAGCCATCGGCCAGCGTTTCTACTAGCACGATATGAAAAGCTTCGTCCGTGCGTACGTCTAAGAATGCGTAGCCTGTCAGAGGAACTTGACTAGGCGGCATAAGCCATACGGGCTTTTGCAACCCATGCTAGTGCCATCCCGACCAGCGGAATAGGTTAGTTTGGACTTTATCACTAGCATGCCTCCCTCAAAATAGGACGGTAGGGTATATGACGCAGTCCTAGTAGTAGTTGATTTATGTACGAAATACGCATTGTATCTTCTATATACAAAGGACATTGACACGCAAGAACTCGCCCAGTTATGGTTCTCCAAAGTGATACCAATCCTAGGTATACCAGAAAACCTAGTCAGTGACAGGGGCAGCCTATTCATAAGCGAATTCTAGTCGTCGTTTTGCGCATTACTAAGAACGGACCGAAGGCTATCAACTATATTCCACCCACAGACCGATAGATAGACGGAACGGCAGAATCAGACGTTAGAATACTACCTCCGATCGTATGTTAACTAGGACCAAGACGACTGGGCCAGTTACCTCCCGCTAGCGCAGATATGCTACAACCAAGCAAAGCATAGCGCTACTAGAACATCGCCGTACGAGGCATTCCAGGGATTTAAACCTGACCTACGGATCAGTGTTGACATCTATCCAAAGGAGCACCACAGAGATGCGGTAGCAAGGGTGAAGGATATCCAAGAAAGAAGATCCTTCATGCTGAAGAAGCTGACCTAGTCCAAGGAGGACATAAAACGTTATTATAATAAAAATCACATCGATATATCATTTCACATTGGCGAATAGGTCTTGCTACGCGCAAAACACATCGTTTCGCATCGCGTCTCCACGAAATTGGATGTGAAATACATCGGACCCTTCCAAGTAGCGGACAGGATCGGAAAACAAGCATACCGCGTTCGACTACCTCCAATGTATCGACTAGTCCATCCCGTCTTCCATATGTCACTCCTCGAGAAATTCCACGGCAATCCTGAAAAGCAGGACGAAATACCTAGGCCAGTTCTAGTGGAAAACCAATTGGAATACAAGATCGAAGAGATTCGAGCCCACCGTGGCACCCCGCCAAGACAGTATCTAGTGAAGTGGGAAGGGTACCCTAACCATGAATGCACATAGGAAGACCTAGCTACTATAGAGAATATAGTGGCGCTAGATATCTACTAACTGAAACCTACAAAGAGAAGAGGCAGAAGTTCAAGGAAAGGATAGCATACTCCACGGACTGCCGATATCAGTCTAGTCCTAATGCTATGCCTAAGGCTCAGGGACAAAGGAAACAAAAGAAAAATGGGCCTACTACCGCTCACTTCTTCTTCCTTTAGAAGAAACGCTTCAGAGGACGACGGCGAGGGGGTTCCTCAGAACTCTCCCGAGAAGGGCCAGTGGAACTAGAAGTAGCCACCACACAAGGGCTCTCAGCACGATCCCGACGAGAAGGCTCACTTCTACCACGGTTATCGGAAGAAGGGGCAGTCGGACGGGGCCCGTTAACTAGACGTCGACCACCAGCGTCCTGTCGATCACGTACTACGGAAACCATCGAACGAGGTGAACCGGTACAACGACGAGAATCCCTGCTACTACTAACAACTAGGGTAGTCTCCTTGCTGCTATCCTTGGCCGCGCGGTTACTCTCTTAGGTATGCCGCTTCACAGCCTTTAGGAAATCAGCACGGGGCCCATTAACAGGGGCAACATCTATAGCAGGAGACGTATCCGCCAGGGCGGCAAAGTAACGGTCCAGGATCTCGGTGGAAAAGGGGATATCGCTACACTTCTTGTTTCGATCAGTGCAGTCGTCGCAACGCGGCAGGGCCTTCCCGTTCGAATCCTCCGACCAAGTACACACTCTGCCCATTCCGGTGCAGGTGATACACTTGCGAGCGCGCTCCTTAGTATTGTACCGCGGACGCTTCATGCGCTTCGCTTCAATAACCGGGGTCGTAGGGTTAGAGTTAACCGGGCGACTAGGGGTGTTCGGAACTCCGGAAGCTTGAACTAGGGGGAGTCACACCGCGGCGCGTGCGAAAAGACATCGAGGGCGATCCACTAGCAGCGGCGTTCGTCGGAACCGGGGCCGAAGCCCGGGCCCGCTCGCGGCCACCACCAGAAGACGCCTGCCTATTCTCCTGACGCTCACGGTAAGACAAGTTTGAAAAAGCCCTAGATCGGCGAGTTCCCGGAGGAGAGGGGGTATAAGGATTCCCGGGCTAGGTCTGCTGAGCAGGGCCACGGGATTGTTGACCGCGATGTCCAGGCGAGACAACAGGAGACGAGTCACTAGACTAACGACGGGAAGCGGGCTAGGCCTACTAAGCGGAAGCACGACGTTGCTAGGCAGCGACGCGGAAAAATTCTTCCTCGTCAGAGGAGGGAAAACGAGTATGCGGCATTTCGAACTATAGAATGCCCCAGTCAGCAAAAGACATCGAAGATCAGGGACGATCCTCCGAAGGAGGGAGATAAAATGCCCCAGCCCACAGAAATATCAGTAACAACAAACTGAGGACAAACTAATCACACAACTGATCTCAAAGCTGACACCGAGCAGAGAGAGCATAAAGATAGGAAGAGGCAGTGAAATAAAGGGGACTTACAGGCAATACAAGCGTACTAGCTAGGGAGAAAGAAGAAGAAGAACTAATTGAGAGAGAAAGGGGCCTTTTATGTTGGCAACGCAAGAAGTGTTGCCTGGCCCTGATATCAAGCAAACAGTTCAAGCAAACAGTGCATCTATCTACTCTCAGCCTTACGGGTTTCCCCGCAAAAAGGCTTGTATCAAGACCCTTTTCTCACTACGCCAATCACATACCTCGCGCAAGAACGAAAAATAGGCCAGTCGGCATCGGATACCTTTCCCTGCATAGATTTTCCCCAGGAAAGAGCTAGAGGTTTTTGCCATGCATGGTTTTAATGGACCGAAAAAGCCACTGGACAGGCCCATTCCATTACAAGACCCCAGGGACGTGGTCTCTAAGGAGGGGGATATTGTCAGGACCCTCGACTACTTATGTTAGTACCTGAGGCACGAGTGGTGCCTCAGGAATCGTGGCAGTATAGTACTGCTCACCGCCCGGAAGCTGGGCCAGCCTGTATTTAGTTCATCCCCGCTAACCCTGGGAAGGGTCAGCGTTCAGTCTCTTCTACAATAGAACCATATTGTACTACACGTCAGCTGAGGCTTCTACTTCGCTTACCTAACTAAACCGGAGACTCTGCGTGGTCTCACAATATAGCGGATATGATCTTCGTAGCTCTCTAAGTAAATCAGGATATTATCTACGTAGGTAGTCGTAAAACTATTAAGGTATTTACCAAGTGCTATATTAATATACCGCTAGAAAGTGGCGGGTCTATTTGTTAACCCGAATAGTATTATTTTGTACTTAAATAATCTATACCTTGTTCGGAACGTTGTAAGGTCTTCGGAGTCGGCCACTATACGGATACGGTAGAAGCCTTATCGAATATCGAGCTTCGTAAAAAACTTCGCTTTATTAACTTATTATAGCAATTTATCGATCAAAGGCAATAGATATCGATCTTTCTTCGTAAGAGTATTTAGCTTGCGATAGTCGATATAGAACCTAAGCCCTCCTTTAGGTTTTCGAGCTATTAGGATTAGTGACGTAAAAAGAGCTATACTTAGTATAAGGAAACCTTTATAGAGGTTATCTATAATATACTACTTCGCCGCTTCGAGTTCTTCGGCTAACTACTTATATAATAGATAATATCTAAGCTTTACTTCTCCTTCTAACTCGATTCGATAATCTACTAACCCTCGGTAGGGTGGTAATATATTAGATTCTTTCTTCGAGAATATATCGACGTACTCTAGGTACTCGGTTAGAATCGTGTCTCTAATTATGTGTTCCTCCGCTAACTTCTCTAGTTCTAGAGAATATTGCTTCTCTTCGATAATTCGATCGATTTCGTAGAGACTAGTAACAAAGATCTCGGTTTTAGGTTTCTAGAGATAGCGATAGAATCCGGAACCTCCGATTATAGCAATCTTAATTATAGGGAGCTTCCTTTGGGGATCTAAAGCTAGCCATGCCTTTTGATAGGGTTTCGGATCACTTCTTAGGACTAGCAATTCCTATATCGATCTATATATCTTAGCAAGTTCCACGATACGAGGGTCTTATCTCGGCTTTCTTGTCTATTCTCGGGAGAGGTCCTTCGTAAAGAGCTAGTCTCTCCGATCGGCATCCTTCTAATGCCTCTGAGGATGTCAGGGTTATAGGATCATGTGATAAGAGGAAAGGAAGTAATAAAGAAGAGAGTAAGAAGAATAAAGTGAGAGAGAAGAGTATAGTTATTTGTTTCAGTCGGGGTATCACTCTCTATTTATGTTATTTCCCCTAGGTGGCAAATGCTCTTGCCACCTAGTTGATTTATCAGCATTGGTAATTTGATTTATCAGCAGATGCTTCTAGTTCTTTCTATTAGCTTCTATTGCCGATAGTATCCGAAGGTATTCGGTTATAGCCGAGATCTCGGTTCTTATTGGTTCGGGATCTTATCTTATAGATAAGATCCACTATATTATAATTGGTCTTATAGGAAAAAGTGGCTTTTTCCTACCCTCCATTATAAAAAGGGTTCTTTTATAGTCGTATAGACTTCTTATATTGATAATGCCTAGCCTCCGGCTAAGTCTTATATTTTAGTATTCTCTAGGGTATTAGGATAGGTATCTTGCTAGCCACGCTCTCGAAAAGGGTAGGTTCTTTAGGCTAGATTATCTATAGCAATCAAGCAAAACTCTATGCTTCTCGAACTATATCCGCCCGATAATTATATTATAATAACTAAGGTCGGCAATAAGCATCGGAACCTAGTGCTAGGTACGTGTCAGGACCCTCGACTACTTATGTTGGTACTTGAGGCACGAGTTAGTGCCTCAGGAATCGTGGCAGTATAGTACTGCTTACCGCCCGGAAGCTGGGCCAGCCTATATTTAGTTCATCCCCGCTGACCCTGGGAAGGGTCAGCGTTTAGTCTCTCCTACAATAGAACCATATTGTACCACACGTCAGCTGAGGCTTCTACTTCGCTTACCAAGCCAAACCAGAGACTCTGCGTGGTCTCACATAGATATTGGTGTTACGCCTCTGTCTAGGTTAAATAGCTTATTAGATATAAGGAAGGAGAGTGTATCAACTAGGTTGTCCTCAAAGATAGATAAGGGATAATTATCCGAGAATTGGGATACGTGGCTCTGTGATATATTAATAAATAATTAATAGATAGTAGGCAGTGTGGCTTTAGAGTGATAGTCAAGATATACTATTATCTTTTGTCTAGGCAAAAGAATCCTAAGGGGTATTCATATTCAAGAAAATAATAGATAGATGATTTCAGATAGAATAGACTAGATTATAGACCGTAATTGGCTAATAAGACCTACTCTACTTAGATCTATGCGGTCTTAGACCGCGGGGACTATATAAAGACCGTATAAGGACCGCTAATAGACTGCCAAAAGACTATAAGGACTATATAGAGACTATAAGGACTATATAAGGACTATATAAGCATCGCTAAAAGACTATAAGGACTATATAAGGACTAGATAAGGACCGCCAAAAGACCGTAAGAACTAGTAGAACTTATTAGATCCTATAAATAATCTATATCTAACACGTATTAATCGGCCTAAATAATAATAGCTATTAGATATCTAGTAGGGATATCAATAGTTTCTAGGCAATAGATAGGCTTAAATTCTAACGGCTGTTAGAAATCTAGTAGGGATATTAACAGTTTCTAGACAATAGATAGGCTCAAATTCTAACGGCCGTCAGAAATCTAGGCTAGGGATATTAATAGTCACGACTCTTCCTAAGCGTATAAGTGCTCCTATATAGAAAATATATATATCTTTGTATGATCAGAAGTAAATTCTAAAATGTCAACCACAATAGTCCGAAATTGAAAGTTTATTAGTAATTAACTTAATCCCAAGCTTCATAAAATCAGATACAAGGTAGTTTCAACTATTTTATTGATTGTTAGACCTGATTCATTATCAAAATTTGTGTAGATACCAAAACAGTGTTAAATAATAGTAAAAAGCGCGGCTGAATAATCAGTTTATACGGCCAAAAAAGGAAGGTCTTGGCATAATTATGAAATTGCGGGGGACCGTATGGGGGACCGTATAGGGGACCGCAAAGGACTACGGGGGACCGTGGTGCGGTCCTGACTACTTTGAAAAAGACCAAAGACCGCATGGTCAGGTCCCGGTCCTTGCCGAGGTCTACCAATTGGTCGGATACAGTACAGGAATTCCGAAGATTGGACAATATGCTACTGTCGCGGGATTCACCACTACAATATATATTTGATACAGAGACTGATTCTTGGGGAACTCCTAGGTTTACCAAGAAGGACTTATTTAACATTATTAAAAGAGGCGGTAAGTCGGCGCTGACGACTCTACAGGGATACGCTAGCAAGACGCGGGGTAGTCCACAGGAGTTGATACTGATGTGATACATGTCCCCCACAGAGTCCGTGACACACCTACACCCTTCGATTGATTATCCAACCCTAATGCCAGAACCCATTACTCTATATCAGGAATAGACCCGGAATATCAATATTCAAGTATATCAAATCATTACTGAAAATTACTTTGATAAGTACGAACATATGTCTCGTAACTGTATTAGCAAACCAAGGAACTAGAATTTTCCATAGTAATGCAAACAAGCCAAACTATAGAGCCTAAAGGGCCTCGAAGCAAAGTTCTTTGCCACTCCCATGTTCAATTGACGGTTCAGTATGTAAGGCAGTCTCCACGACTTTGCTGAACACGCGAACTCCCATGCACTCCCAATGCTGTGCAAATGCTCACTTTCATTCCATGGTGTGCTCATGAATTTATGGTTTGAATGATGTGATAATGATCTTAAGATGACAAGCTGGCTGTCAGTTTTTCAATGTCTATTATGTGGAGAAAAGCATTCCTTAGGTCTCCAGACCTTGGTAAAGCGACCAATGGTGAATTGAAAATCACAATGATACCTTCATCCTATAACGAGACATTGATCAATTATTGACTTTATGACTATACGATGATTTAAATTTGAGTCATATGCCTCTCAAAGCTGATAATATAAGTGTCGAGCGGTGCTGGGATCAAATTTGCAATATTTCTCAGCCTTAATCAAGTGCCGTATGATCCTCCAGGTATTCGCCCTATTCTTGTCTTGATATTGATTTCAACATGGCAGTCGGACAAAGACAGCCCGAGCCGCTTCGTCGAATCATAACAACACATGATTCTACAAGCGGCCGAGCTATCTTTAGCGACGCGGTCGGGGAGCAGGTATCGTTTACTGGGTTCCCGGTTCCCCCCGGCAAGCCCACGACGTCAGACTATGCTCTAGCCTATAGCACAACTACATTTCCTGTGCAAGGGCTTTCTCCTCCAAATTCTGCAAACCCGGAGTCTAAAGGCAATCTCGACATTGAGCACTATCACTCTCTGCTCTCAGATCCATCGCCTTTGAATCCGCCAAACGGCACCTCCTGCACAATTATTGAGGTACCTCCGGGTTCAGAGGTCCCGATGCACCGAACAGCGACCCTCGACTATGGTGTCGTAATTGATGGCACTACAGAATTAGTCCTTGATTCCGGTGAAAAAAGATTAATGGCAAAGGGAGATGTGTTTGTTCAACGAGGCACAGCTCATGCTTGGCGGAATATAACTGAAAAGCAAGAGAACTCTGGTATTTTACGTGTCTTTTTCGTGTTTCAACCTATCGAACAGGTGCGATTGGAAGACGGAAAGATCGTTGGTCAGGACTTGAATTTATCTCTGTGTGAGACTTGAAAAAAAATTACGTGGCATGGCGGTATTGTTTGAAATTGCTGAACAAAAGTTGGCCATGTTTAAATGTTTTAAGTATTGTCAAATATCCCGTCTCAATATTTTAAAAAGTTCTGGAATTATATACAGAGTGCATTCATATCACGCAGTCCTTTTCTCTTAGAACAGTAGTCTAGTATAGGAAGGTTCATTTTATTTTGAGCTCCCTAGGAAGCTCTTGAAGTTTCATTTCAGATAAAAAGTAGCGAAATTATGTGACACGCTCCTTTGATTCCAGGTGATTATTTCAAAGATATCTCGATTTTTTACTGCCATATGACTCTAATAAATATACCCCTTTTCACATTATGTTATTGAAGCGCCGACTTGAAAATGATATTTCAGACATGAAACCAATGTGAAACATTCAAACTTGTTAGCTTTTAACCATCCTTGAAGCTCAGAGTTCTGTTAACGTAGGAGCTCCTGGTGTTGGAGGCGCCGAAAACTTTGTCTGGACGAAAACCTTCTGTATACCCGGGTCACGCTTGTTGAATAAATCGTAGACCGTCTCCATGTCCTCGAGCTTAAACCGGTGAGTGACCATATGCAGGGGGTGGATTTGCTCCTGCCGAATATACTTCAAGAGGTCATTCCAGTATTTTTGCACAGGAGCTTGTCCATTGCCCGCGAGATGGATCCCGGTCTCCATTAAAGAACCGATGTTAAAATGATTGCACTATATCGACACGTTAGTGGAATTATTCTACTATAGGACAGGCATCACACACATAACCGGTATATACGCCCGTAACACCACAACGCCCGAACCCACGGACAGAGGTAATCATCTCGTTAAGGAGTTCAGATGTATCCGTTTCCATACCTAGTAATCTTTCGAAGTAATGAGCCCATCCTTTCGTATACTCGCCTGCGGCGCATTCAATTGCCACATCAGGTCCGCGGCCGTCACACATTTTCTTCAGAGTTGAGGTAACAGACTCGCCCTTTGGGAGATTCGTATACTCAATTGTCTCGAGCTTCGGTAGAATCTTCTTGACAAAGTCTAGTCGCCATTTTCCATGGCCGCCGTCAATAAGGATTACCCTATTAGCACCATTAAAGAAGCTAAATTCAGCTGTCATTTGTCCAACTGGGCCAGCTCCCCAAATTGCCACAGTGTCACCCTCCTCAACCCTAGTGTCAACAACAGCGTTCCAAGATGTTGCTAGCACATCAGAAAGGTAAAGACCTTTTTCATCGGGGACGTCGTTAGGCAGCTGAAGGAGGTTTATATCACCGTATGGGACACGAACATATTCCGCTTGTCCACCGGCAAAACCCCCCGTAAAGTGGGAGTAGCCAAACATGCCTAACATAGGTCTTAGTATAGTAGTCTAACTAATATCAATATAGCCGTTTAGAGAGGAAACATACCGGCTGTGCGACGCCCATATAGCTTACAGGCAGCCTCGCTCGAATTCGTCCGCTCGCACATTGAGGACAACTTCTTGTTGCAATAATAACACTCCCCACAGGCAATTTGGAACGACGCCACAACGCGATCACCTACTTTAACCTTATTTACTGCCGGCCCCACGCTTGCGATAAGACCGCAGAACTCGTGGCCGAGAATATCACCTCTCTGGAGATCTGGGATGGCCTCTATAAACCGGTAATAGATACCTTATTAGCAGATCCACTAGCATTTTATTAACTATTACAAAGTCGCGACATACCGTGGAACAGGTGTAAGTCACTCCCACAAATAGTGCTGCCCGTCACCTTAAGTATGACATCGCCTTCATCGATGATCTTCGGGCGAGCCGTCTCCACTATAACAAATTGTATAAGCAGGAAAATCGAATTTCAAAATGGTCAAAGTGAAGTGAAAGTTGTGATAGGCAGGATGACTGACCAACTTTAACCGAATTCTTCCCTTGCCAGGTCAAAGCTTTCATCTTATGGCTTAGGTCGCCGTATCCCCGAGCCCCATAGTTGCTGACATCTGTGGTGATCGAGGCAGACATAGTTTATTTCCGAATATAATGGTTCGTTTTGATCAATGGGTTTTCGATCGGGCGCTTTGATAACCCGGATAGAGGAAGGGTATATATAACTCACCGGATAGCGAGGCGTCTTCGGGTTTTCTGACATTTTCCTTGTGTCTCAATGTTTACATCACCATGATCGCATCTCGACCAAACCTGTGAAGCGAAGGGGTGTGTTGAGATCGTGAATCTCATATTCACGTCATACACGTCGTTGGCCATCTAGATTTAAATACGCTTTGCTTCTACGTGGTTCTAGACTGGTTGGGGCTCATAGAACTTCCACATTTTATTCTCATCGATATGAATAGACCTCTGAAGGTGCCATGGGACTAAAAAGCTCCTGCCATTCTAGTGGTACCACTTATGCTTGATTGTCAATAAACCTAGTACCAGAGGGTGATGATCTTCAGAGGTGGGCGTCGAGGTGTCATGTATTAATGTTACAGGTAATTTACGACGAGGCGAAATTTTGAAAACGCTCTGTATGACCCAATACTGTTGGTTCAACGACAAGGAGGTTGCTCGGAAAAATCTAAGTACGCACTAGTGTATCTTGGCAATTAGGGTTCGAGAATGAACGAATGACTGTGGGTGGGGACACTACTTTCGAGACGTACTGTAATCGAAATCCCAAGGCGGTCATCTCCGAAGAATCGGCGATGCTTTGCCGGCCACCTACACACGACTATGGTCTGCCTACAATGTGCATAACAATTCACTGCGATTCATTCCAATCAGCAACATTACATCAGTAATCATACATTTAACAGACTTTTGCTTGCAATGCGTATAATTTACATCTAAGGTATTTATGTTTTGAAAGAACCGTACTCCGTAAACTTGACGTAACAGCCCCTGCGTCTAAACTATCCGTATTAGGACTAGCGTATCTCGACTTAGGATTCCAGAAACAATTTCCCTTTGTAAAGCATGGAAGCCAATTTGGAATCTAGCTGCACCAGCGTGTTGAGAAATATCTTTAGAGCGAGCTTACCTGTTCTTTTATGAGAGTATGATCGCCGAAAGAAATTACAGTTCATTCCGAACCCATGCAAAGGGATAAATGCAGCATGCCAGTGTAGGCTGTTGTGAGACCACGCAGAGTCTCCGGTTTAGTTAGGTAAGCGAAGTAGAAGCCTCAGCTGACGTGTAGTACAATATGGTTCTATTGTAGAAGAGACTGAACGCTGACCCTTCCCAGGGTCAGCGGGGATGAACTAAATACAGGCTGGCCCAGCTTCCGGGCGGTGAGCAGTACTATACTGCCACGATTCCTGAGGCACCACTCGTGCCTCAGGTACCAACATAAGTAGTCGAGGGTCCTGACACTATCTTAGGCCCACGAAATAAGCTTAAGTTCTTCTTAACACTAGAATAGGAGAAATACTAGGCACCGCGGTATAAGGAGTCCCTCGAGACTTATATCTAGCCTTACTAGAAGCGCTATATAGAGGCATAGACAATGTCAAGTTCCTAGTCAATAAGTAACAATATCTCTGATATTAATATACTTCTAAGACCTACTACCTCTGTCTAGTCAAGACCGACTACTCTAGATGAACTCACAAGGTATCTTAGAAGTAGTAAGTTTAATATCCCTCTCTCCTATTGTATATCAAATCTTTGTTTTTGCTAACTTTATATCTCTCTAGGTACTGTCCAATTAACACCCCTAGTCTTCTAGAAGGCTTATAAGGCAGAGTATCCTATCTTAGCAAGCCTTGCCCGAGATATCCTTATAACTCTAGCTAGCGGCTCTAGGGTAGAGAGACTTTTTAACTCTGCTCGGGATATATACCACTATCGCCGGGGCTTATTAAGACTATAGACTATTTAGGACATAATAATATTTATATATACAACCAGATTTGATATATAGTCTAAGTAGCTTGCGCTAGTAGATAAGTTCCTCTCTACCTAAGAGAAGCATTCGAAGAAGGAGCAGGATAATGCTAAGTAAGAGGATAAAGAGTTTGATCCTATTAGCGATAACGAGGAAGATCTTACAATAGAAACTTCTGCAGAAGTATCTATTAAGCAGCCTAGCCTACGAGCGCTAGGGAAGAGAAGGGCTATTGATAATAATAAGATCCCTCTACCTAATTTTGACATTTAGAGGCGTTCGTTAGGGCGTATTCCAAAGAGACTAAGACATAATACGGATTTTGTATATAATTAATAGATATAAAGGACAATTGATCCTTTCAACATAAATCATGCACATAAGTAATTTCTAGAAAAGTACTCAAAATTTCTGGAAAGAATATATTTAGGCTATATATAACAAAGTATGACAGTAAAATACTTAAAAATACCAATAGATTCTTCATAAATTATGTAAATCACGGGGTTCTACATGTTTGTCCCGTTTGTAGGACCGCAAGACCGGACCGGACCCTTGCGGTCCTTGCCGAGGTCTAGGAATACTGCATGAAACCGAAGATACTATAGATCCGATACCAAGGAATTAGTCATTATACTAGGTATAAATAGCTTCGTAATAGGGGTAATACAACTCAGAGTCATTGATATCTCCAATTGGTCGGTACAGGGATTCCGAAGATTCGACAATATGCTACTGTCACGGGATTCACCACTACAGCATGTGATTTAGCGCTTGAAGTTTGCTTTGTTTGACAACCCATTGGGGCCCCAAAAACCATTGCGGTTTGAACCTAAGAAACCACAAACCGCAGTGGTTTTTAGAACTAGCCCCAAAAACCTAACCAAGTGCGGTTTGGGTCGGTTCGATTTTGCGGTTTTGCGGTTTTTGGCGCACTCTAATAGAGAGAACCTTGATACGCTATTCGAATACACGTTGCCGGACTAGGCTAAAGCCTACGCTCGGCCCGACCAACGATAACCAGCAATTGAGGCTAAAGTGAGGATTTCGGAGAACGGGGTTTGATCTTGCTGCAGCAGGAATTGGCTGTTATCTAGATCGAGAGGTGTCTCATGGGATGTGAGATAGGAGAGAGGAGATAAGGACAGGGGAGGTGGACAGTGCATCCACGCAAGCATTTGTATTCAGTGCTTCCTAACACTGGATTTCTTATTTGTACGGGCTTCTTATTTTGGGTACGGGTTTGGCTTATTTGGACCACATATAGGGCTGGTGCTCTCTCTTATTTCGAGAATCAGCCTAGTTTTCTGTACTGGAGCATGATCAGGCGTACGGGACACGAGTTCTTGTTTCAACTGGAAAGAAGCGCCTAAATAACTATTCGATACTAGATAGGCTGCAACAGGTTAATAGAACTTTGACTGATTGATTGATTGATTGATTGATTGATTGACCAAGTCCCGGAACGCCAATGGTCAAACCGTCGCACTTCCATATTATTCTCTTTCCTTTGCCTTGGACGAACAAGTATCCCTGCAAACAATTTATTACCAAGGTTTAAGCGAGCTCAGTCCCTCCCTACTAGTGACCCATCCGCTGAGCAATCTTACAGTTTAAGCGTCCCTGGTTGCAATAGCCGAAACAGCGAATGGGTTTGCAGTGAAGGTACCGTTGGGATCAGCGTTATCCCTTGCCCTACCCAGTTTCTGGTACTTGTCCGCACCTTCATAATAACAGTTCCAAATCTCCGGCTTCCCCAGGTCCCAGTCACCATAAGACCCCCAGAGCAAACGTCTGTCCTGCTTGCTAAAAGGGCTCGAGGGACCAACCATAATGGAGTCATTCTTGGCCTGCCATTTTTCGGCATACTCTTTATACTTGTCGCCCGGTTCATGAAAGCAGTCTAGCGTCTGGACAACCGATGTGTCCCTCCAGCTGTAAGAGGTGCCGTTATCCTGGTTTAAATAGAAACGCGAATTGTCGCCTCCATAGCATTGGATCTGCACTGAAAGCTTGCAATGTGTGTAGACTTCATAATCCTTGTCTCCAGGGTTATTATTGAGCAACTGATGCGGGTTATAGATTAAGTCGATGCGATCAACCACATCGTCGACCCAGCCGTCCTTTTCGAGAGTCTTCGAGTTCGTAGAATAGGTGCGCTTGACGTAAGGGAGATCGAACTCTCGCTGCTTGGGGAAAATCCATCTTCCAGTCATTTGAGACATGTCCTCTTCGAGCTCGTTGATGAGGAGGGTTTCGTTATGGAAGAAACCCTTCAGGGCCCGGAACTTGTTGAACCATTGATCAACACTCTCGTCATACTTGTCATCTTTGCTGGTTGGGCACCACTGCGCATAGAGCACGATGATGGCGGGGAAGCTGCCATTCAGCCAGTCAAGGAACTTATCCGCGAGGGCTTCCTTGATCTTATTTTGAATGCGTTGCCATTCGTCAGCATTCTTCAATGTGGGGAATAGCATCGTGACGGGAAATTCTGTACTGAGGACGCTCACACAGAGGTCAAAGCCTCGCGGGACATTGCTATCGTCAGCCATTTGTGCGACTGCAGTAAGCAGATTTTTGAGGACCGCCGGAGAGTAGATCCAGAGTCCTTTAATACCATGTGGTCCCTTGAATCCATCTGGACCGGAAACTGTCCCTATGTAACTCTTGGCCTGATATACTTCCACGACATAGTGCGTGATGATACCAAAATTACCTGGGCTGCCCCCGAGCACGGCGTAAAAAAGTTCGGCCTCGTTTTCCTTAGAGACGTCTCGAATGACACCGTCATGGCAGACCATACGAATGGTTCTGATATGATCGCCAAAAAGGCCAAAGCTACGGCCCAGTTGGCCATAACCACCAGTCTGACCATGTCCACCCAGACATACGTAAGCGCACTGTCCGTGGGGGACAAACAGTTGGTTGTGCTTGAGATATGCGTTGAAGTCCTTGAGTTGATTGCTGACGCCAACGTACACCAGTGCTTTATCCTGGTCAATGGGGTCGCGGGGATTCAGAACCATCAAGTCTTTGTATGTGTTGCTCAGGTCGATCTGAATGTTCTTGCCACTGGTAGACGATGCACCACTGTACTGGTGACCACCACTCTTGATAGCGATAGCGACTTTGTTCTCTCTGGCCCAGTTTACAGTTTGAATGACGTCTTCGTCTCGTTTCGGCTGAACGATGAGATCTGGGTACATGTTGTGATCATCCTCGTGAGTTGAGGTCGCATATTGCTGGTTGAAGTAGGCGTAGTCCTGTTTCTCAGCTGGAGTCCCATCGCGGGAGTATTGCATTCCCTCAAAATCTTGAAGTCGGACCATGATTACTTTCTGAAAGACTTCAGAAGTCAAATAGACAATTGACGGAAGTCTAGTGGACACGCTTCAGACGTGAGCGACACCCAGCCTTATACTTTTCAGAAGTGCTTGGGGACACGAACAGATTTGGGGGGGCGTTCAACCGCTTGGGTGATTATGACGTGATATCTGTAAATTCAAGCACTGGTCATTGATATGAATGCATCACGGCATTACATCACTCCCATATAAATGATGATGTATATCTATTGCACTGTTGCTAAGCAAATCTATGGTAAATCACATTACTCTTGCCACAGTTGCAAAGGGCTGCAAGGATATATCTACTCATTCATTAAGATAGTGGCATTGATATTATGCCAAGAGACAAGGAGGTGCTGCTTCTCTGCTGCGGAACAAGTTAGCCTTTGGTATGGACCAAAGATACGCCAAGCGGTGAACAGTGGGCCTAGATTAATGGTTCTAAGCCTTCTCAGGAACTGAAAAATCTTAAATAGATAGTCTTACCGTTTGCAGAATCATGCCCAGGCCTAGACCTTGAGCGACACTATCTGGCCGAAGCAAATATGTCACGGGTTCGGTTGAGCCTCACTCTCGAAACGTGAGCCTGAGGCATCCAATTAGATCATAGGTCGATGACTTCTATCTTTGAATTGCTGTCTTTACTGTGTAATATCTAGCTCGGCCAAGCCAACAGAAATGCTTAGAGGCTCGGGGTATTTCGGCTCAGAATAAGCCTGCATTGCATTCAACAATTCTGGCTTGGACGGAAGACGGAAGTCTTGGGTGCTGAATCGAGTCTTATTATCCCCTTCGAAAGATGAGGCTGCACATCCTCAAACATGCTACAGATTCCAGGCTTCAAGCTCGTTAGCCGTGAGCGATCGGGTGGAGAAGCAATGCAGAGTCAAAACCCACCGCACGTCCTCGACATATTCTTCGTCAATGTTGCTCAAGGTTCGCTCGTATGTCTCTGTCGGTCTCACGGACTCCATGGGCATATGTATCATGCCAGTATCAACTCTTGTGGACTACCCCCGCTTCTTGCCAGTGCATCCCCGTAGAGTCGTCAGCATCAACTCACCGCCTGTTTTGATCATGTTAACTATGTCGTTCTTGGTGAAGCTGGAAGTTCCCCGAGAATCAGTCTCTGTACATCTTGCAATACCACTTGTTCGGAGACATCTTTGATCTTACCTAGTTGACAGGCTCTATCCTGTAAACATCAGACCCCTTTCTTACAGTACGGCTGAGCGGATGGGAAGCCCTGTTCTCCACACCTTGTGGTCATATGTACCAAATATTATATGAAAGGGGAATATATTTATACATAAATCTCAACCATGAAGCAGTGAGGCTTTGCCTATCAACACATAACGTATTTCATATGCGAGCGGCGCACTCAGAAGCTCAAATCAGCGCTAACATCAGCCGTTGTCGAAACCGTGGCTCCTTTTTCAATGTCCGACCACCTGCTGAGGGAGAAGGCAGGGCTTAGTGACTGGAATCTGGCTCTTGCACGCCCGGTTCCCACCAGCGGTAACCAGCTGAACAATCCGTCCGCAACCCCATTTGTCAGTTCCACGGCCGGATTAGCACCGACAGAAGACCAGTCCGGCACGAAGGAGCAATTTGTTTTTGCTTTGAGTGTAACCCAGTCATCTGCATTACCGGGTCCTTTGAAAGTAGACACGAATGGCTTTCCGTTGCACAAGAAGTATGCAAAGCTAGAACCGTATTTTGGGATCATGCTGGTGAGAACCTCTTGGTCCCAAGGTCCATTGCCAGCATAGTCAAATGAGAAGAATATCTTGGATCCCTTCGCATTGGCAGCAGTGAAGGCCATTTCCAGGGAAGCGTCATTGGTCTTGTCTTCCCATGCCATGTTAAGGGCGAACACATCGACATGGACATCCTAGGCCAATCCAAAGTCTGACTACCAGTCGGAGGCAGTATAATTCTCGGAGCTCGTGACCTTGAAGAGTATTATTGTTATAATACTTCATTTAGATAGAAAAGCTCAGGGTGGAATTACATACCATACAATGGGCAAACACAGCCTTTGCATTCGCCTAGTAGATGAACTGAAAGGTCACTACCATGGTAAGCCAGAAACCAATTCATTGTCGCAATAGTGGCTGAAGGAAACCGTAGGGAAACAGACCTCTGCTAGACTACTCCCTTTATAATCTCATCAATCAAATCCTAGTTGTCTCCCATCAACTGGGCACGACATCAGGAGAGGTCAGATTTTCAGCTAGACGAGTCTGCCTTTCCGTAAAGAGTCACAGCATCGCCGACATTTCGATGCTAGTAGTATTGCTAGTAGTCTCGAAATTGGACTGGATGATGATATTCATTCTCGCGTCAAGTGGCTCCAGGGAGCCCTATTCCTCCGGGTATAATACTACACGATGAATTCAAGCACTTGAGTACACTGATATTTATACCTAGGTGTTGCTGTTTGTTTCAGGTTCAATACAGCCAGTAGCTTTGTCGGCCTTCGTATCAGTTTACAACAAACGGTATAATAGATACATTTCTTTTGAATGATTCTGCTAAACCGTAAAAGCTCAACAGCTATGTGAGTATTGGAGGGGTAAACCATAAGCGAAATTACTATGAGACACCACAACTAAATGACACACCACAACTAAATGACACCAACAGTAGGGCAGGGGCCACAAAATTCGGGTGGAACTAGCCCGGAAGGGTTTAGCGGCCCACTTCGGTTGATGCCGGCGCGGCCCTTGCACCGCCTAGCTCTGATTATTCGGTCGTTAAGGACGAATGTGTATAGTACTGTCTTAGATCGGGACTCCGTAGACTGAACCGTTAGTGCTTAGGTGGAAAACCCCCCTTAACTTGAGTTGGATCTCTATGGGGCCGAGGACCATTTGCGATTTTCTCACTTGGTTGAGGCTCGACATTGTCTTTTTGACCACTCGCGACGGTTTTGCAACTGCCGCTAAACTTCATACCCGAACCAGGTCCACAAGGCTCCTGCTAATGCTTCGTAGTGTTGCCTCTCTACGGCGATTCACGCTTATTTGTTCTTGATCAAAGACTCAGAATTCCTCATTCATTAGTATCTCCACTAGCATCTGACGGACCTATCTCGGTGGTCGTCATTATCATTTCTATACCGGACGTTGAAATCTCTGCTTTCTTCGTTCGATTTGGTCGTATTGTGCCCGGTGATAGGGGATAAATTGATCCTTGGTTCCTTTATTGAACCAGCAGATCTTGGCAAATGGCGACAAATATTTCCGGTCCCAGCTGAGGTTTCTTCTTTGCCGGATATTATAGGCTGATCTTAAGCGAATGGGTCTATTGGAGACTTGAAGTAGTCTAAATCCTAGTTGCCCTCAAGCTCATGTTTAATCTCCGAGCCGCTTGCTTGATTCTAATATCAATGAGGCGAATGCAACGTTGGGGCGACCTTGGACGACCTAAAACCTTTCTGGCTCCTGCTAGTATCTCTTGGCAACGTGTTACTCCATGCTGCCATTTGAAATGATGAGATTCCTGCTCCCGTGAGAGAATAGTCAGCTCTTTGTCCGAGCTACTTGTTAATTTACTTTCTTTTTGCACCTCGTTCTGCGCCTCCCTTCATTATCCACGTCCCTCCGTTACTTTTTATTTATTTTCATTTGCTCAACTTATCGCTTCTGAGTCCTAATAGGGATCACACAGCATGCTACTAGTCATTCTCAGCTTGTGGGTATTTCTCTCTGCACATATGGAGCTAGGACTATGAATTTTTCCAGAAAACCTAACAAGCAAATAGCATTGTCCGTATTTTGGTCTTTACCTCCTTCGCACCTCATATACGTCACGCTTGGCTCGGCAAGGATAATGGAGACATTTCATTGCTCTACCTACTTTTCAATGTCGCTTGTTCCACGGAGCATCTACTTTTCGTCTTCTTTTATGCTATCAATATCCCTATCGAGACAGGGTACTGGACTCACCATCCGCGTAATGCACTTGACTGGGTCAATTTTGTTCAAGTATTAGGCGTGTGGGCACTGTGGAATATCCTGTGAGCTCACAATATTGCCTTTCCTAATAATCATAAAGCGACCAGAGACTGACCAAAATGTCTAGATTATGGCTCAACCTCTACCACAAGCCCACTAGTCGCCTTCGCAAGGCTTTGACAGTAGTTATCTATTTCGGCTTTCTCATTATATCTATAGTGCCTGTCATAGCAGATGAAGTATCGGACATCTTCTGTCCTCCACACCATCCGAACTGCCCTGAGCATGAGCGAGATCCAATCGCTCTCTTCCAGGGCCTTCATGCCGTCATACTTCTGCCATTTCTTACGACTATACCACTTACTATAGGAATAATCAAGCAAGCCCGCATGTCGTTACAAACGCAAAGTCTGACTGGATTGAAGCTTCAGACAGCGGCTTTCATGCTCTCAGCCGTTTCCTGGGTCCCCAGAGTCTCTGTTCCATGGGATCTATACCTGGATGGTGGACACCCGATCATTCTGATTATTAATGCATGGTACCACATGGTTGGGTTTGTCGCTGTCAATGATGCATTGCTTGCTCTAGGGCAAAGAATTTTGTTGTGGTTGTCTTTGCGACAGATTAGACACGCGGAGGAAGGAGAAAGACAGCCGCTTTTGGGGTGATACATACACTGCTCATATTAGCACAACGCAATCATTGAAACAACAGGTGCTAAGATTCAATTTTTCGATTTGTTCAATTCGGCCCAAGACTGGCTGTCGAAGCCTGTAGAGAGAATACAGAAGTGTATAAAATAGGGATCTAATGGAGCTGGAATGGACAGAATGCCATAGGCTGAGCAGAGACCCTATCTTCGGTTACAAGAGGCCGAAAAAAAGAAAAGAAACTAGGAAGCAATTATGACCAGAAGAGAATTTCTTGAAAATTAAGGCGTTTGGTGTATCAACAGGCGTCAAACATTGACACCTCTTAGAATGCCAAAGAGAGGCCGTGGCAGCATGACGACTCTTGATTTGTATTCTGGATAGCTCGCAAAATCTATAATGGTCGATGCTGCCATCTAGTATTATAGGTGATCCGCATAATCAGTCTGCCTTGTACTTTTCCAGCTCGTACGCGTCGTCGTCTGGATCGGCTGTGGGTGCTGGGAAAGAAGCCACGGTTAACCCCACATCCTTTCCATTCCGGCCGAGTTCATTCAGAGCCCCAACTAGGTTTAGAGTCTTGGGCATGGGCCCCTCTTTAAGATTGACAAGCAACGAAAGGGGCCAAGGGGCGGCCACGGACCGCTCTTCTTCCAAGCACAGGCGTGACTCGGGTAGTGATATGAGACGGTCCGAGAATTCAAAATCTCCATTGCCATGAGCGCGGGCTGAGGTGTCGATGACTCTATAAGCCACCGTCATTCTGAGACCTAATGGTAGCTCTTCTTCGTAGACAGTTTCGTCGGCCGCGGTAGTTATGGTCGCTGTCCCCTTTGTGGCAGCTGACCCAATGCTAAACAGCGTTGATGTGGGGTTGGTGTGCCTTTGACCGACCACTTCCGTCACCGGTGGGGGCCAAAAGAGGTGTGCAAGCACGGCGTGGTGATGCAGGAATGAGAGAACGTCCTGCTCAGTGAGCGCATCCGAGAGAGGGAAGTAAGCTTTCTTGGCTGTCTGGGTCGAGTAAAGGACTGTCTGGTCGTTAGCCATACTATATTGGGGGTCGCAATATGCTCCTGAGCAGGCAAGATTTTAAGGAGACTTAATGCAGGGTTGGGTCTAACAGGAAGCCATGCCGACAGCAAACTTGCTGAGCCAGAGGTCATGGGGGCGCGATGGTGGCTTGAGGATATTGTTGCAGTTTGCGTGCTACGCAATGCCAGGTAGAGGGATGGGTTGGGATGGTTTTCCGAGCGCAGCAGTGCGTCGCGCCCGCAGATTTAGCGAACAGTGGCAGGCGGGTGAAGATGTGACCCAGGTTATTTGCCAGTCAATTTGGGAGTCAAAGAAGGTGGTGCTTGAGAGGATAGGAAGCTGACAAGCATCGGACTAGTGCTTAGAAGCGCAGGATTACTTGGCAGATTTCGAGCGATGATTCGACCCTTTATTCTCCCGTCAAATCTCAATTTTGTTGATTATTTACAGTACCACCCATCGATTCCTGACATTGGCATCAATCTGGTCATGGTTTAGTGTCTTGAGCCGCGATCGTGCTCTAGTCGTGTTGCCTACGCCGGTCCTGCCGCACCAAGCGTCTGACCGTCTCTAGATGTCATTTTTCTGCCGCCCAACAGATACGCGGATCCGCCAAGCCGCTCGCATTGATATTCACGACTCCCCGTATTCAGCAGCACCATCACTGCGTGAATAGGGACTAGCCCGCAGTGCAAAGGTCTGCATCAATTTCTAGCACTGCAAGACGGTGCCGCAGCATGGTGCAGAGAAGTCGAGGACGTCTGGAATCTGCCCTGACCACCGACGAAATTGATGTCGATACTCGTCTAAGTCTGAAGCCGCTCGGTGGTGTTATCGCGTGAAAAATGGGTAGACAACCAGGGAGGCGTGTTTCCATTGTTGTCCTTACAATTTGTATTGATGCGCGGGCGATGCAGCAGGAATTCACACCGCTTCTAGGCGTTGGCTCCGAATAGCATCATTGTAGATATCAACAGCATCCACGATCCGTTCTACCTAATCGAGGAGAAAGTCTATAGGATGCTGAACTAATCACTGAAGACCCAGTCTTCTGCTCCTGCGAGCTTCTAATTACTAGAAAGAGCCCCTCTTGTCCCTGTATACTGCCGTACGGAGGTCTACTCCTACTAATGGCTATAAGGTGGGTTGGGTTTTGAAGGTAGAGCCCGTAGCCCATAGCCCACTGCTAACTGGGCTATGGGCCTCAGGTTCAGGCCCAACCTAGCCCAATATGAAGGTCTAACCTCGGGGGAATCGAAAAATCTACTGCTCCCTGACGTACATTCCAAGATTGTATAATGGGTCACTTTTGGAGATATTGCTGAATGTGATTTTCTTATAAATCTTGTAAATAAAAAACATATCTAGGGGGCAAAGGCGTTCACGGACCACCTTGATTTGTACAGCAACAGTGGGAAAAAGACAGCAGACGCTGTCTAGTTGGAGGCAGCAGCCAAATGCTTGCTCCTGCTGGCAATGGTTTTAGCAAAGACGTTCATGGGCACGGCGGCCAGAATCTCCAGCAATGCCACGGTGGCCTTCATCTCCTTGACAATCCAGTTACGGACCTCCAAGGCAACCAGGGAGTCGACTCCGTAACGGTACATGGGGCGGCTCGCGTCAACTTCGGAAACCGGGATCTGCAAGATGTCGGCCACCTTGGTGACAAGGGCGTCAGCAATGACTTCGGAGGCCTCATCCACGTTGCCAGCTTCGATGAGCTTCGAAGACAAGGAGACGGTCGCGTTACGGCTATCACCGCCAACGTTAGTGGAGAAAGCAGACACGGCCAAGGGTCCGAATCGAGGATCCTGGAAATAATCCGGGAGAGCCAGGTTGTGGGCAGCCATGATGTCGGCTGTTCCGAGACCGGTGGAAACCTGGGGAGGAAGGAATTCCGAGCCTGCAGGTCCCTGCTGGCCAGTGATCAAAGTCTTCATCAGCGCGTGGAATGCGGGTTCCTTGATACCCAGAGCCTCTTCCCAGATCGCGATGTTACCCGTTGTGCCTTGCTCGGCGAGAATGCCAACTTCCCGAATAATGGTCAGATTGACCGCAACGGCCTTCAGACCGCGAGCCCGCCGGTAGGCTGCCAGAGCATCCTGGTAGGTGTTACCCGCCGCATATTGCGATTGACTGGGATAGCCGTGGATACCAGAGGTAGAAGAGCAGATAACCAGGAAGTCGAGGGGTCGGGACTCGTCGAAGTATTGATGAATGTTCCAGGTTCCCTGGATCTTGGGACGAAGTGGCACTGTCCACTGCTCGTGCGTCATCTTCTCGAAGATAATATCACGTAGCACCATCGCCATTTGAATCACACCCTTGATGGGGGGTAGGTCGCGTGAGCACTGCTCCATGGCGGCCAAGAAGGACGCCTCATTCGAAACGTCGCCACGGTACGCCCGGAAGTCGATGTTGCGTTCTTTCAGCTCAGCCACGATAGCCTTGGCCTGGGGCGTGGAATCACCGGATCGTGAGATGAAGGCAAGGTGTCGAGCTCCAGATGCAACGAGCTCCAAAGCTATGCTACGACCCAAGCCACCGAGTCCACCCACAATGAGATAGGTGGCATCAGAGTCCAGTTGCAGGGACTCCTTGGCCTCGCAAAGAACCGGGGCTTGGGGATTCCCTGCAAAAGAGAGCACAAGCTTTCCGCGGTGCTTGCCCTGTTGCATGAGACGGAAAGCATCTTGGACCTGCTCAACGGGGAAAACGGTGGTTGGGAAAGGCGAAGTGAGAATGCCCTGAGAGACAAGCTCGAAGGTCTCCTTCAGAACGACACCCATAGCATCCGGGTCTTGCTGCATCAAGGCGAGGATGTTGCAGAATGTGAAGCTAGTCACATTGCTGAATGGGCGCATATCAAGACGCATGTTATCCGTGATATCACGGAGACCCAGCTCGATGAAAGTACCGAATGGAGCAACGCATCCCCACGAGGCTCGGAGAAGCTCACCAGACAACGAGTTAATCACGCAGTCAACGCCACGGCCGCCGGTCACTCGTTTGATACCCTTGGCGAAACTAGCGTCGCGTGAGTTGAAGATGTTTACCTGAGGAATATTGTACTTCTCTCCCAGGAGCTTGCGCTTATCTTCAGTACCAACGGTGACATAGATGACCAGACCAAGGTGGCTGGCCAGTTGAATTGTCGCCTGACCGACACCACCGGCAGCAGCATGAATCAGAATGGTCTGACCCTTGCGTAGCCTGGCAAGGTTGACCAAAGTGTGGTAGGCTGTGGCACCAACGATTGGCAGAGAAGCAGCATCCTCGAACGACACGTCATCTGGAACAGGAGCAACAAGACGTGGGTCGGCCCGAATTCTCGTGCTGTGAGTGTGTTCTCCGATGAAGCTAACCCGGGTGCCTGGTTGGAACTGAGAGACCTGGGAACCGCTCTTCGTCACCACACCACTTGCCTCAAATCCAAGAATAGGGGTGGAGATGAGACCCATTGACGCCATCACATCACGGAAACTGGTCGAATGTCATTAGCATAATGATTATTTTGTCACCTGTGGTACAAATAGAACCATGAGGGACGGTGATGACTTACTTGACACCTGACGCGCGGACATCGATCTCGATTTCATTTTCAGGCAAAGGAGCCTCAGCACGTCTGTCCTTGATGAATTGGAGGGAATCCAAGAATCCTGGCTTGCCAACAGTCAGCCGGACCGGATAATCGAGCTGCTTGATAGGGAGAACGCGGGTAGTGTTCTCCAAGTGGCCACGAAGAGTCTCGTTGACATCTGGACTGTTGAAGATACGAATGACCTGAAGCAGACCGTCTCGCTCACGGAACTCAGTGTCTTCAGTGGGCGATTTGAGGACGCGCTCCGTGAGCTCCGCTCGGCTCTGCAAGCCAGCTTGGCCGCTCAAGTGCAGCACCTGGAATTTGGGAACACCCAATTCACTTCGCATGACACGAGAGAATCCATCGACGGCACCAAAGGAAGGATTCTCGCCAAGTGTAAGCCAGATTAGACGATTAGAATCGAGAACCAAGTTCCTGATACCCTGGAAGTCAGGCTCAGAGAGGTCATCGAGGAAGGGCTGTTCAAGCTCAAGAAGAGAAATGTAAGTGGTATTGTGGAATTTTTCAGCTTCACCACCGACCCACTTTTGGACGATCACGGAATACTTCTGGCCCTCTAGTCGAGAAGACAACGCTGTCGAAAATTCAGTGGTACTAGAGCTGGGAGAGGATGGCACGAGGATGGTGATTTTTGTGTCGGACGTGTCTCGGGTTCCCCGGTTGGCTTGAGGCAAAGACGGTTCCTCAACATTGGAATAAAGCCCAGGCAGGCTAGTGATGCCATTCAGGCCGGGGAAAGCCTGGAACCCGTTCGCTTCAAGGACAGAGCCCGCGCTATGCAATCCGGAAGCTGTTATCACAAGTGCGGCAGAACCGGCAAGCTTCAGGAAACGTGCGAGAATGGCATTGCTGTCCTCAAGAAGGCCCGCAGACGCAGGAATGATAAGCACATCCGCCGAAGTCTTTTGATCATCTTCGCTGACTCCGTTCAACTCAAATACTTCTCCAACCAGGCTCTCATCGGCAAGGTTATCTGGGCTAGGTTTAACAACCGCGTACCGAAGCTGAGATGGCTGAATGCTGCCCTTGGGTAGCTGATAGGAAGAAGCAACTGCAAGATCATCGGTTTCGGGAATGAGCTCAATAACCGATGCGGACGGATTCTCGTGAAGTATCGCGCGAAGTAGCTGCGGATATAAATTTAGTGGAAGCTCGAAATGTACATGGTCATTCCATGTCCAGCAAAGCATGAGCTTGGGATGAAAAGAGCCGCAAAGGACTAAAAAGGTGACTGTCAACTTACCTCAACTGGAGCGTCCTTTGCTGTCACCTTAGTCAACGCCGAACTAATTTCCTCTGGCTTGAGCAGGCTCAATGCGTAATTCCAGCGCGGAACCGAAGTAAAGGCCCAGGGCTCGAGTCCATCCGAAGCATCATCACCGACCTCTGGCTCGGTCATCCTAAAGTCTCGGACAGCCAGATGCATCTGGGAAAGAGACTTGTCAAAGGTGAAGATGTCGGCAGACTGCTGGTTGAAGCCATGCTTGCGCGAGAAACAGACACCAGGCATCACATACCCAACTTCGCCGGGAATATTCAGAGAAATCTCGAGTTCCCCAATGTAGGCAAGGAAGTTGGGCTTCTCGACCTCAAAGGCGCCATTCTTGAAAGTACTTCCAAAGATAGACTGGAAAATGGCATCAAGTGACGATCCTGGGATCAAGAAAGGGCGCTCGAGCTGTCCCTTGCTGTACGTCTCGCCAATATCAATGAGCTTCACATGGAAGGCAGTTTCCCCGTCTCCCAAGTGGACCCTTTCCATTCCTTGGAACGTCTCACCGTAGTTGTAACCGGACTTATGCATGTGCTCGTAGAACTTTTTTCTCTGGATCGTCAGAGGAGACTCATCGCGAACGCGGTGGAAATCAGCGATCCTTGAAGTCTCTTCATTGGCATCCTCATAGATCATCTGCTCGCTCCTGCTGTTGGCATACTCGATTGCCACCAGGCCTCGGCAGTTTTCTTGGATTTGATCGGTTCCCGGGCACGAAGAAATGGTAAACTCCCACCAACTTGCGGGAGTGGAGCCCGAAGTAGCCACCAGGTGGGGCCTGAGGTTGGTCACAACCTCGATGGATGTGTCCTCAGGGAGGGTCAAGGCTGCGAAGAATGTTACGTCACGGACTCGGAGTGAATGAGCGGACTTCCCGGGGTCGACAAGTTGCTGCACCGCTTCAAAGACCATGCTCACCATTCCAGCGCCGGGCACGAGAGCAGTGCCACCAACAACGTGACCACGCAGCCAAGGTTCGTCAGTGAGACGCACGTAGTTCCGCCAAACGTGCTGGCTTTCGTCGAGCATGGGTTGCTTCAACCCAATCATGCTGTGGCGGGGGTTCTTGCTCTGGAGTAGCTCTCGCTGAATACGCGAGTCGGCTCGGAAAATCTTGGAATGATTCCACGGGTATGAGGGGAGATCAAGTAGCAAGCGACAGTCGGAGTCAGCGTTGACCTTCTCCATGTCAAGTTGGACTCCTCGAAGGAATAGATCAGAGGCGAGAGACAGGGAGGTATCAAGAGCGTTTTGGCCACGAGTGAGAACGGACTTGTAGTCGACGTTTTGGATATTGTGGGAGGAGAGGATTTGCTCGACTGGACCACCCAGCGCGCTGTGAGGACCGATCTCAATCAAGAGATCGACGTCGTTCTTCTCTGAGCCACCTGGGGCCACCAACTCTGCTAGAGCATCCGAGAATCGAACGGGAGAGACCAGGTTACGGACCCAGTAATAGGTTCCCAGAAGCTCCGGCGAGACCTCTTCAACTGTGACACTGGAGACCATGACCGGTAGATTTACCAGATCTGCTTCACCAGAGTAAGGATGTGCCTCGATGTCGGCAATTGATTGCTGGTACTCTGGTGCAGCGACGTTCATGTGCGACGAGTGGTAGGCGACGTCGACCTTGAGACGTCGAGCAAACACACGGCGATCCTCGAGAATTGCACGTAGCTGTTCGAGCGCTGGAAGGTCACCCGAGAGCGTGATACTGGAAGGCGAGTTGACGCATGCAATAGTTATATCACCAGAGATGCTGCCTTTGGTCTCTGAAATGAGCTTTTGGGCATCCTTAGCCGAAGTGCCAACGGCCATCATACCTCCCTGAAGGTGAGGAGCGCTTGTCTTCAAGGCAGTCGATGCCATACCCCTGAAATAGGCAACAGCCATGGCATCGCGATGCGTCAAGGCGCCTATAGTATAGGCAGCGGCAATCTCACCACTGGAATGGCCGACGACCTTGGCCGGTGTCACGCCCCAAGACTTGAGCTCGTCGACGAGAGCAATTTGAACAACAGTGCAAATGGGCTGGCTGACCTCGGGGATAGCGAGGCGAGATTCCTTTTGGGGCTTTTGAAGTTCGGTGATGGGGTCCCAAGTGCAGCCGAAGCTACGCAGCAATTCGGCCGATCTACCCACGGAAGCTCCAAACACCGGTCGTTCAAGCATCTCCACTCCCATACCAGCCCATTGAGCGCCCTGTCCAGTGAAGACAAATCCAATGCGCGGCGCCTCGGCATCACTGGCCCGGGTGGAATTCTCACCTGGGTTGGTGGCCAGTTGTTCCCGAAGCTCCGCCGTGTTGTCAGTCACGAAGGTTGTTCGCCAGGACAGGCCAGCCCTGGCGGCGGAAAGAGTGTAGGCAAGGTTGGCCAGGTATTCGCTACTGGAGGCGGTGGGTCCCAGGCTGTCCAAGTGGTTGACAAAAGTTTCACCAATTCGCTTGAACCCGGCCTGATCCTGGCTGCTGCAGACAAACAGCCTCTTGCTCGAGTGCGCGGTCTCTTTTGATCGGGTGCCGTTGGTTGCACCATTGAGGCGGCGCTGGGGCGTGTAAGCCTCCAACACAACCAGGCCGTTTGTGCCACCCATGCCAAATCCACTGACAGTCATTCGCTTGGTCTGGGTAACAGGCCATTTGACCAACTTTGTAGGAACCGCCATGTTCCATTCGTCGAGTTTGATAGCGGGATTGGGCTTCGAGAAGTAAATGTTAGGGGGAATAGTGCTATTCTCTAGAGACAACACGCCCTTGATTATACCAGCCACACCGGCAGCAGCCTCAAGGTGGCCAATCTGAGATATATATTGTCAGTAAAATTGCTCTTGTGGGAGTGTTGAATTGCCTTGGAACGAACGTTTGGTTTGACACTTCCAATCCAGAGCTTCCGCGACTTGTTTACGCCTTGTCCGATGGTGTCGTAGATGGCTTTCGTTTCAACTGGATCTCCAGCCTTGGTACCGGTACCCTTTACAGATACATCATGTCAGTCCGAAGTTGGGATGTCAAAGGCATGTATAGCTGGGAAAACCAAGCAACACCGAATACTCACATGGGCCTCCACATATTGGATTGTATCATAGTCAAGCTTGTTTCTCTCAAAGACCTGCTTGATGAGAGCAGCTTGAGCCTGAGGCGAAGGCATGGTGACTCCCTGGGTCCATCCGTCCGAATTGACACCCGAACCACGAATAACGGCTCGAATGTTGTCTCCGTCTCGGACGGCCTCATCGAGTCGCTTCATCACCAAGATACCACACCCTTCGCCACGAGCGTAGCCACCAGCGTCGGCGTCAAATGATCGAGAGTGACCGTCTGGGTTGAGGAAAGACAAGTTGTTAAGTTGAAGAGAGGAATCAGGGGTCAGCATAATACCGACACCACCAGCAAGAGCCATATCAGCCTCTCCAGATCGCAGACTCTGGCATGCCACATGAGTTGCCACCAAACTCGACGAGCAGGCCGTGTGAACAGTGGCACTTGGACCGTGGATATCCAAGAAATGGGAGATGCGGTTGGAGATCATCTCCTCACAAGTTCCCAGCACAAAATACTTGGGCGCGTGGCCAAAGTCACGAGAAATGGAGTCCCGGTAGTCGGCCATAGCAGACCCCATGTAGCATGCGGTCTGGGAGCCAGCCACCTTCTGGAGTGGCAGACCTGCATTCTCCAGGGCCTCATAGGCAACCTCCAAAGCAATCCGCTGTTTGGGATCCAGTGCAATGGCTTCGGTAGCTGTAATATTGAAGAACGAGGCATCAAATACGTAGGGATCTTGCTTGAGGAAGTGACCACCTTTTGTGGGTTGGGTGTTCACGCGGTCCTTGTTAGGATGGTAAAATGCGTCGGGGTTCCAACGATCAGTTCGAGGGGAGTAGGCGTCTTTGAAAGAGTTAGTATGGCATTGACTGCAAGGAAGCTTTCCCCTGGAACAGAGTCGAGCATAACATAGCATAGACTAAACCCATGCCGGAGCTTTCGATGATATCTTACCTCGACCCTCTTTCAAAAGATCCCAAAACTTCGCTGGAGAATTGGCATCTCCTGGAAAACGACAAGCTAGTCCCACGATGGCGATTGGAATCTGGGGCGAAAAGTCTTTGGAGGATGTCATTTTGAAAGGAAGTGACGCGGTTTTCTTCCAACAAAAGCCACAAATATACAATTGCGCAGAAAAAAGAGAGAAAAGAGGCTATGTGAGATCAGGAGATGTGGGATAGCTAGACGGATGTTTTCAAAGGGGTTGAAAAGAAGATAGATCAGCTTGGGAAGAGGATGCTTTATAGATCTCAGGATGAGTTCTCCTCAATCCAGTAGTCTTGCTGACGCCACCAGGAGCCCGTATACGAAGAACGCGCTGTAATTCTCTCACAACTACCTGCCAGTGGAGCTCTTGGCCCATTGTGTTGATAGTTAGGACAGTGTGTACTCTACCCCCAGCTTCCCAGTGAGGAATTACGTGTCCAGGACCCGCTTAATCTATATGCATGAGGTATTATTCTTGGATGTAATCACAAAGAACTGTTACCACCGGTGAATCTGACTCGGGATGCCTGATTCCCGGCGCGAGTCGCCCTTCACTATCTCCGTTCGCCACTAGGAACAGAAGAACTGTTCGCAAAGGGATTGCGGAAAGGCGCAAGATCGTCCCGCCTAGCTGCAGACAGATGTTCCACCATCGCTCTTATCTTTTAATTCTCGAGCGTCCAAAGAGAAATTGGGAAAGCCTACAGTGATTTTTCACGGAGTGCTGCCTAGGTGGTCAGCAACATCAGAGACCAATCGAAACTGAACCCGAGGCTGCAGCCAACAAGACACAGTGTCCTTGTAAATCACAGCGTATAGATCGGGACGTTGATGCAATATGGCTCGTCAAACGAAATCCGCTTCATTAACAGTGGCTATCCACAGAAACCAGCTCGTATTTTCGGTTTCGGGTTTCTGTCTTTACATGGGCATGACAATTTGATCTTGGCATCTCGATGCTTTGAGTAAGTTCCGAGGAAGCGAATGATGAGAAGCTGGGAATTGAGTCAGATAATTACTGCATTCGGCTCCGGATATCTTGTGATATCATTTAAAAAGGAAGGAATGAGCCGCAAATCCACATACCCACCTAAGATCTGACCTGCATGAGCAGGGATACCAGGGTATGTGGGGCTATGGAGCCTGTCCTATCATGTTAGAGAGCTGTTTTGATTTAATTTACTGTTTATTGCACGACTCTTGGAAGGCCAGATGCACCAAAGGTACGTTAATGCATAACCATCCTGCGAGTCAGCTCATGCATCCTCATTCCATGGGGCCAAATGCGTATCTTTAGCCTCCGGTATCAGAGTGTTTCGTTATTCTAGGCCCTGATTCCAAGGTTGATAGCACCTTGGTGGATTGAGATGGTTGAGGAAGCCCATTATCGCTATCTACTATGTCAGCCCCCAATGGGTATATTTTCCACGGATGATATCTGCAGCCATCTCGGGAGCGTTTGCTTATCTGTATCGAGTGTGTAGTCTAGATAAGCACATATATCAATGTTTATAACGCCCATCATGGATTATCAGACTCCGATGTAGCTTGGGGGTCGCGCGATGTTGATAGGAAGCAATCCGAGCCTTGTAAGATTGTCACCTATCGCTCCATCTTCCTGTCCCACGATTATAGAGCTGTGTCATCGTGAGTGGCGTCATATGGCGTGCTGCTTATGGTGATCATTCGTTTCCCAAAGGATTGGAAAATGTCTCGAAATTGAAAGGCAGCGAACGAAAAGTACTATGGAAACGATTATCGAATAGGAAACACGGCATCACCACCATCACCCTTTGGTGGCCTTTGACTTGTCTCCTCGCCAGTTTTTAATATATTTCCCTGAAATCAAATGAGTGCCTGCGGATCTTGGAAGTCTAATCACGCCACTACTTCATACAAAGTCTGTGTTCTTCAAACTCGTGCAACCCTGACTACATAAAAGGACTCAACAAAATACTCCACGTGGGGTCCACTGGGTCTCCTGCGCGGATGATATGATTGTACTGCATGTGCAAAGGCATGCAAAGCCTCTCAATGGGGATAATTTAGTGTCCGGATAGCCCCGACAGTTCGGGGCCATTAGCTGGGTGGAGGGCCCGCAAATCGGATTTTAGTGGACCGAATTCTCCGTAATTATACCTTCCAGTAGGTTTTGGAAAAAGGAATAAAACAAAACAATATATGCCTACGGGTTTGAGATTGCGACCCTACTCGGTTTCCCGAAACCGCTAATGAAGGCTAGGTTTGGTGCTACAACAGAGAACAAGGCAACAGAGAACAAGGACCAATGACAATCCAAATGGGAAACACAGGGAAGCATATCGCGTAAATATAAATTCTGTAGTAATAAATTCCGTAGTAATAAATGTGCTAATAAATAATGTGCTAATTGTAACGGCCGCCATTGCCGAGACAGCTCGGCGTGCGCCAAGGTGGACCCACCAAGGTCTATTGTGTCCATGGATGTATTGTCATGGGATTGTATGGCTAATCAAAATACCTGAACCATTCGGGCCCCCGAAGGATGGGGATCCATCAGCGGGATCGGCGTAAGTAGGATCGGGTGTCGTAAGCTAGGTTGGGCCGATTGCCGGTGCGTGCTGCGCCTCCCGAGTCGAGTACTACGCGATATAGTAAAAGAAGGACCATGGACCCACATCGGGTTATAGGTGTACTTGTACGTGTGAAGACCGACTCGAAGGAATCCCGAAAGGAGCAAATCCTATTGGTGCGCTTTCAGGCTCCACTCGATTTTGCCTGGGTCGTTAATGCAGGTCAGATTTGAGGCGGGACATGTGGGTTGCAACACATTACCGTCCGATATGAAGGATTGGGGATCTATACGAGCTCGGAGTTAGAGCGCCCAAAGCCGATGTGCAAGCACGTCAAGGGCAAGACTTCACCTATAGTTGTACGTATATTTCATGTTATCACCGGTAGATCCAGGTTCAGATGTCTATAAATTAGCCCAATTCCAGATAAATTGCTACTGAAAACACAGCATACTAATCTATCTTTCTGTACATTGCCAACTTTGCATTCCTTCATTCTCCTCTCAGGCTATGCTCAAAATATCAGAGTCAGTCCTCTTGTTTGGGGATTATACAGAGTCATGGATTGAGAGCATAGATTCTTTATGCAAACAAGCTAGCTCGGAGCCATGGCTCCAAGGCTTTCTCGACGACACCGTATCCATCATTAAAGAACAAAAGAGAACTATCGAGAGGACCCTACAAGACTGCCTAGGTGAATTCACCGACTTGAAGGATCTCGCGGATCGATATCGCCACACAACAGACGAGATCAGCTACGTACAAGGTCTGATGCTGTTCACGATTCGAGCTGCTTATCTCCTACAGTATGTACGATAAGCCAAGCGAAGGATTGGAACCCGCTGATGTGAAGCACTAGATGGATCAAGCGCGAGCCCAGTCTTCTCACAGCTTCACACGCTGTGGGATTCTCGGGGGGACTGGCCAACGCGTCGGTGCTTGCAGTTGCCGAAGACTTTGACAAATTGTACGCAGCCTGCCTGGAAGGATTAAGAATGTTCTGCCGGTCGTGCAGACTTGCGATCGTGAGATCCCGGGCCATCGAGGAAGGCTCAGGCTCGTGGGGCTGGCTCGTTGTCGGAATCCCCTCAAGCGATCTGCGAGACGCACTCGATCACTTTCAGAATAACATGGTATGTTTTCAAATTGATACAAGCGATCAAGTTGCCATGAGAAGCTGACGGATTGGACACCGAACAGGGAATACCAAGCTCCAAAAGGGCTAAGGTCGGGTTGACCGGTGATCGATGGAATACTGTGATCGGCCCGCCTTCGATATTAGAGCTCGTATTCAAACAATGCCCTGCCATCAAATCACTCCCCAAAGACAAATTGAACATCCATGCCCTGCAGCACGCTCTTGACCTTTCCGAGTCCGACTTGGACTACATTGTGGGAGACTCAGCCCTCGTCAAAAGCCATGTCAATCCCAGTTTCAGGCTGTGGGGCATGACCCAGCCAAAGGAGCCTTGGGGTACCTGGGGTGATTTGTTAAGGGTGGTGTTTGTAAAGATGTTATCTGAGCCTCTTGACATCGTCAAAGTCGTCGACGAGTTCCACGGTTGTCTAAGCTCACTACATCAAGCCAACATTTGCAACATGGCCATGGAAGGCCCGAGCAGTCATGCGGCATATCTGGTGAGCACATTGAAGTCGTCCGGGAAAGCTGTCAACTTCAGAAACGGCTTGGGGAACGAGCAGGTTGAATCAACTTCCAGCGGTCGTATCGCCATTGTAGGAATGTCTGGCAAGGGCCCTGGATGCGAAAACCTCGAAGAATTCTGGAACGTGATTTCCAATGCCCAGGATCAACATCAGGAAATTCCCAAGGATCGCTTCAATCTGGAGGATTACCTCAAACAGGGTCATGTGACACAATGCCAAAGCGAATCGATGGCAAGACATGGCTGCTTCATTGCCAAGCCAGGCGACTTTGATGCTCGCTTCTTTCATATCTCCCCACGCGAAGCCTTGCTCATGGATCCTGGGCATCGCATGTTTCTGATGAATGCCTATGAAGCTTTGGAAATGGCCGGTTATTCCAACGGTCATACCAAAGCTACGGATCCCAAGAAGATCTCCATATTCTTTGCTCAATGTAATGACGATTGGAGAATCGCAAGTCACGATGTCAAGGGCTGTGACTCCTACACTTTGCCTGGTACTGCGCGCGCCTTTGGACCCGGGCGACTTGCCTTCCACTTTGGTTGGGAAGGCCCGGCGTATTCCATGGACTCGGCGTGCGCCTCCAGTGTCTCCTCTATCCACTTCGCCTGTATGAGTCTGATGAACAAAGACACAGACATGGCTGTTGCTGGTGCTGCAAACGTCATTGGGTACCCGCATACCTTCATCAGTCTATCTCAGTCTGGCGTGTTGTCCAGAACGGGCAACTGTAAGCCATTCAGAGACGACGCTGACGGTTACTGCCGTGCGGACTTTTCAGGTGTCATTGTGCTCAAACGACTAGAAGACGCAATTGCTGCCAATGACAACATCCTGGGAGTCCTAGCTGGGTCCGGAAGAAACCAGGCCGGAAATGCAACTTCTATCACCACATCGGACACCGGAACGCAGACGAGACTTTTCCAAAAGGTCCTTCGGAACGCGAACGTTTCTCCCGAGGATATCTCATATGTTGAGATGCACGGAACGGGTACACCCATCGGTGACCCTGCCGAGATGGGTGCTGTTGCCAATGTTTTTGGTAATCGAAAAAGCGACGCACCTCTCCCGCTTGGAGCTGTCAAAGGAAATGTTGGACATAGTGAATCGGTAAGTGAGGCGTAGCTGACGGTGTTGCCTTTTTGCTCATCGCTGATCATGGATTCTGGCCAATTCTTTAGGCCGCTGGGATGGCCTCTCTCTTGAAGTGCCTCATGATGCTCCAGAAAAAGGCAATTCCGCCCCAGGCAGGCATGCCACACGCCCTCAACCCTAATTTCCCACCTCTGTCCGACATCAACGTGGTCATCCCTTCGAAAATTGACGACTTCAAGGAGAAGCCCAACATGCCTAGACGGATTCTGCTTAATAACTTCGATGCAGCTGTAAGTGAAGTTGAGCAACTCATGTCAGGGCGTTACTGACTTGGACTTTCTGTGCAGGGCGGCAACGGGTGTCTACTGCTAGAAGAGTACGTTTCCTCCACCTCCAATGAATTGGAGATCGATGAACGAGATCCTCGATCCACTCATTTGGTTGTCTCGTCGGCGAAGACACAAGCATCTCATCACGCCAACAAGCGGAACCTTCTGAACTGGCTCAAGGCCAACCAGAGCACGCGAATTCAGGACATCGCATACACCAGTACTGCCAGAAGGGTTCATTGGCCCTTGCGATATGCTGTTGCGGCTTCATCGACCCAAGACCTGATTACCAAGCTGGAGTCAAGCATTGCCCGTGAGAACCCGGAAAATCTCAGTGGACGAAAGTCTCCTATTGTTTTCACTTTCACGGGACAGGGGTCGCAATATGCAGGAATGGGTGCTGAGCTATATGAAACCAGCTTCGCCTTCCGGGACACTGTCAGGCTCTGTGCTCGGATTTGCAATGACCACCAATTCCCCGAGTTCATCGATATCATCACAGACAAAGACATCGATATTTCCACCAAGAGTCCATTGCAGGTTCAACTTTCCCTGCTGGCGCTTGAAATTGGTCTTGCTGCCTTTTGGAAGTCTATTGGGGTTCTGCCGGACATTGTGTTGGGTCACTCATTGGGAGAGTACGCAGCTCTATATGTCGCAGGTGTCTTGTCGCTTGGAGACGTCTTGTATCTCGTTGGCCGACGAGCTCTTCTGCTTCTTGAGCGATGTGAGATTGGGACCTGCTCCATGCTTGCGCTAAATGCGTCGGCCACCACTGTACAGGTGCATTTGGAAACCCAGCCACACCTTTCCTGTGCAGTTGCCTGCGTCAATGGCCCGAATGCCACTGTCGTTAGTGGACCACTTGGGGAAGTTTCCCATCTTCAAGACCAATTCAAGGACAATAATATCCGGTCCAAAGTGCTTTCTGTTCCATTCGCATTCCACTCCCTCCAGGTGGACCCTATCTTGGACGAGTATAACATCCTTGCTGGAGTGGCCACTTTCATGCAGCCTAAGATTCCGGTCGCTTCCACTCTACTCGCTGCAGTGATTGACAAAGAAGGCACTTTCAGCCCTCAGTATCTTGTCGAGCAGACCCGTCAAAAGGTTGATTTCGTTGGCGCTCTCAATGCGGTGAAGTCCAAGTTGGATAATCCGGTCTGGCTCGAGGTCGGCCCCAGTCACATCTGCTCTAGTTTTGTCCGAGCAACAATCTCCCCGAGTACCTCCAAGGTCATGTCGACCCTGGATGCAACAGGAAATGACTGGCTCTCTGTTGCCCAATGTCTCTCCGGACTCTACCAGAATGGCGTTGATGTCGACTGGCTTGGACTTCATGCTCCGTATGAAAGCAGCCTGAGACTTCAGACACTTCCTACCTATGAGTGGGATCTCAAAGACTACTGGATGCCATACGTGGAGCCTAGTGGCCCCGGTCAAGCTGTGGTCGCGAACACTACCTCGGGACGTGGCAAAACGTCGGGTCCGATTTCCACATGTGCCCAGTACGTGATTGAGGAGTCCATGACACCAAAGCCACAGATTAAGCTCGGTGCAGTCACAGCGGACGCCGGGTTCAAAGCCTTCATCGACGGCCACCGCCTGCGAGGAGTGGCAGTCTGCGCAGGTGCGGTCTTTATAGAAGCCGCCGAAACGGCCGGTCGATATCTGCTCAAGTACCTCGGAAGGGAGGATGCTGACACAGCCGTCTTGAGCCTTCAAGAAATGGCTCTTATCCGTCCGATCACACACAAATCAGTGCACGCCAAAGCTGAACTTCAAACGACGGCCGTCCTGGACAGTGCTTCGAAAGACACTGTGCGCATTACATTCAACGAGTCACTTCCGGCAGGATCCTCGCAACGACTTGGAGGCTGCCTCTTGAAACTCTGTGAAGCTGGTCTAGAAGCCCAGTGGGAAAAGAGTTCCTTCTTCATCAGATCGCGGATGAATGACATCATTGCAAATGTGAAAAGTGGTCAGGGGCACCGCATCCAGCGCGATATTTACTACGCCCTCTTCGCTGATACAGTCGAGTATGATACCCCCTTCCGGGGAGTCAAGGAGGCATATGTCTCTCAGGATTTCGAGGAGGCTGCCGCTGAGGTCGTTTTGCGAGCAGATCCCACAGGCACCAAGTTTACGTCCTCTCCCTACTGGACTGACAGCCTTTCCCAATTGTGTGGTTTCGTCGTGAACGGAACCCCTGCTCGGCCCAAAGACATCACGTACATGATGGCGAGTCTTGGGACCTATGTCCAAACGGGTCAGGTCATTCCCGGAAAGTCTTATTTCACGTATTCGCGCATCTCGGGCAAGGATCAGGATCATGTGTACTGTGACACTTTCGTGTTTGACGACGACCGACTGATCATCGAGTCCACCAACTGTGTCTTCCACCATGTCCAGAATGCCACCTTGGAACGACTACTCGGCAAGCCCGCTTCGGCGTCGGCATCGGCACCGGCACCGGCATCTGATGGTCCGCCATTGAAACGTGGCCCACACGAGGCTCGGTCCGTCCCGGGGGTGCCGAGTACCGAAAAACCAAATTCTGCCATCGCGACCACAGCTCCAGCCTCGGAATCTGGTGAAGTTGGGCAAGGCATATATCAGGCACTCATTGCGGCCATTATCAAAACGACCGGCGGTGAATTATCCGAGCTCCATGATGATACAGAACTGGCCGAAATCGGTGTTGACTCCATCATGGCGATTGAGATCGTCGCCGATGTCAAAGACTCGACGGATGAAGACCTTCTACCATCTTTCGTTCTGGAGTATCCCACAATTGGCCATCTACGACGTACTTTTGGTGAGAGTGTTTCGTCAAAATCCTCCGATTCCTCGGAATCCAAGGAGGCCTCGGATACACCAGATTCTTCTGCATCTGTCACAAGCGAAGAGGAGCTTTCTGTACCTGGAGAAGAATCTCTTCTGGAAGCTAAAGAACATGTTGCATTTGCGAGAAAGGATATCGACATTCCCAATGGTCGATCTCTCGCCGAAACCCCGGTACACGATGACTCGCCCCAGCCTCGCGTCAGGATCAGCCTCTTGCAAGGTCGTCCTGTGCCGGGCAAGCCGAGGTTTTTCCTGATTGCGGATGGTAGTGGCTCCATCGCAACATACATCCATCTACCTCCCGCCAAAGTCAAGATGCCTATTTACGGTGTCGACTCGCCATTCCTTCATTGCCCGAGCAGGCTCACCCCGGAAGCTGGAATTCCCGCTGCAGCCAAATGGATCGTCGAGGCCCTTGTGAAGGCCCAGCCTGAAGGTCCGTTCTTCTTGGGTGGCTTCTCTGGGGGTGCCATGCTAAGCTATGAGATTGCCCGGCAGTTGGCCGCACTCGGGCGCAAGGTGGACAGTATGATCCTTATCGACATGTGTTGTCCCCGCCCTACTGTTGCTTCAAACCTCAAGGAGAATCTATGGAACGATGATATTGAGGCCTTTGAGGCCATCTCTAGTCATGCTGACTCCAACGTCGCGACCAACACGCAGCAGCACCTTCGTGCCATCTTCAAGGCCGTGTCCATCTACCACCCGCCCCCCATGACGGTCGAGGAGCGTCCTGAACGCACAATCATTATCTGGGCCCAGAAAGGAATGATCACGCGCTGCTACGATAATCCGGAGATTATGCGGGGACTTGCAGAGCGAGGTTTGACCCGGGATCCCCCTGCAGGATTCATGGAGGATCCAGCCTTTGGGGCTATCCGATGGAGTATTTTGAGCAAAGGCGCAAATGATTTGGGGCCAAATGGCTGGCAGAGGTACATTGGATATGAGCCGCTGTGTCTGTCTGTTGATCTCGATCATCTTGAGATGATGGCACCTGGCCAGGTGCACATTCTTCGCGGTGCCTTTGAAGAGGCATTCAAGCGCATCGAGGCTTGATACGGATTCTCGGTGATGAAGGCCGCTGCTCTATCGGACAACCATGCTATGTCCATCTTTTGTTCTTATTCAGATTGTCCAGAACCCACGCAATAGACATGCCACTAACTCGCTGATTGACCTTCTGCCCTTCCACTCCTCTTAACATTTATTCCTTGCTTGTAGGTTCAAGTCCTTCGAAACTATGTTCTATCTGTGTCGAGGCTTCTGATGTTGGAAGTGGGCTCTTATCCTTGTCAATTCTGTCCATTGATTTTAATTTTGGTCCCATCCCCTCCCTGCGGGATTCGCTTTGTGCAAACATTCCTAATGCGGTGGCCTTGAGTGGGATAGTTGATTTGCGTTTCGAGTCAGAAATCTGCTTTAAAATATCGAAGTCGGTCTTCTTTATCGGTAGGTTTCTGGAACAATATTGTGGTTTGGAAGCTTGGAATGTTGGAGTTTTGAAGGGCGGAGGGCAGCGATCTGAACTTTCTGTCTGCACCGAGTCCTGCAATTCGTAATTCAGGCAACAAAGAGGATGAATTACGATTTGTCTCGAGCTTTGCTGTGACGATTTGCTGTATGTTGCATTTCTTTATTGTATCCCCAAATAGGCTATCTATGGGAGTCATGGTGTGTCTGTCTATCTCCAATCCCAACCATTTACGTGTCTATATAAAGTAGGACTTTTGACTTGGAACAATATTACCCACGCTAGTACACCGTAAGCATCGAGCTAGCAACACTAGCTTTGAACAATGCAGAGTTCAGGATATGACAATGCCGTGTCCTGCCTAGGGCTCTACTATTCCATTCTCTACCGCGTCGTTCTTCTCCGTCGCCTCCTTCTCCCCGTCGGGCTTGTCGTCTTTCATCATGGGGAACGTCAGAACCTCCTTGATACTATAGTTGTCGGTCAAGAACATTGTCAGACGGTCGATACCCATGCCCCAGCCACCGGTAGGCGGCAAGCCATATTCAAGAGCCTGACAGAAATTCTCATCGACCATCTGAGCCTCGTCATCGCCCTGAGCCTTCTGGTTCGCCTGTTCCTCAAATCGCATCCGTTGGTCGAAAGGCTGCGAATATCGTAAGCTGGGGTCTATTCCAATAATGTGAGGGGTTCTTACATCGTTCAACTCTGTATACGCGTTCAACAATTCCTTGGTGGTACTGTCAAAGATAAGTGACCGTGTGCAAAAGCTTTGCGACTGTATGGAGTACTCACACGAAGACTTCGAAGCGCTCACAGATACCAGGGGTATCACGGTGGCCCTTGGCCAGAGGAGACATCATTTGGGGATGACCAGTCACAAACGTAGGATTGATGCACTTGTCCTCAACGAACTCGCCAACCAGCTTGTCCAGCATGCGGGCATTGGTCAAAGGCGGCGAGCATTCCACCCCCATTTTCTTGAGTATATCCTTGAGGAAAGTGCCAGATTCCGGGGTATGAAGTTGGTCTCCGGGGGGAACTTCTCGCCGCAAGCCTCTTCCAATGCAGGAATCATGTCGACTCGCTTCCAGGGGCCCTGCCAATTGATAGTGTAAACCTCCCCAGTCTGACTATGCAAGGTAGTTTCATAATCTCCCGTGATATGCTTGACCATACCGGAGATCAGATCCTCGGTCATGACCATTAGGTCATTGTAGTCCGCGTAGGCTTGGTAAAACTCGCAGGTCGTGAACTCCGGACTATGGGTCAGATCAATACCTTCGTTGCGGAACTGCTTGCCAATCTCGTAGACGCTAATCGGTGTTAGACTTAATGCATGGATATAAGAATGGTATGCTCTCATGTGACGTACCGTTCGAGACCACCCACTATCAGCATCTTAAGGTAGAGCTCAGGCGCGACACGCATAAAAAGGTCTCTATTGAGATCATTGTGGTGGGTAATGAAGGGACTAGCCGTAGCCCCTCCGGCGATGGTGTTCATCATCGGAGTTTCAACCTCGGTGAAATCACGACTGTCGAAGTACTTTCGCATGTACGAGACGATCTTGGCTCGGGTACGGAAGATCTCGCGGGAGCGGTCGTTGATGATGAGGTCCAGGTAGCGTTGTCGGAATCGCTGTTCCTTATCTTGGAAGCCGTAGTGCTCTGACGGTAAAGCGTGCAGACAGGGTGTGAGGAGGACCACCTGCGTTGCGAAAATTGACAGCTCGCCATCGTCGCGGTTCTTCGGCGAGGTTCGCCCGGGGAAGCCAACAATTCCCACGATATCACCTCTCCGCAAGAGCTCATGCTGTTTCTCGAAGGGGACCGTCGAGTTCTGAGCCTGGCACATCACCTGGACCTTGACCCCCTCGGCGCGAATATCGTAGAAGACCAGCTTGTTGCCAGCGACACGCTTGGTGTAGATCCGTCCCGCAATCCGAATGGGCACATCGGTCCTCTCCTCGCCCTTATCCAGAACCTTGTACTCTGTCAAAAACTCCCGGAGGTCATTCGTGACTTCGAACTTGTGCGGGTAGGGGTCTGGGTTCTTGGTCTCGCGGAGTTTGTTAATCCGATTGCTCCGAATCTCAAAGTACTGGTGGGGGCTGAGGTTGGCTTCATCGTCCTCGGCCGATGTTTTCTGCTGGGTCTTGGGGGGAGCGGCTGCGGCCTTCTTTTGTTTCTCGGCCTCTTTTGCGCGGAGCTTCTGGCGTCGCTTCAATTCTGTCTTGGAGACCTTTTCGCCGGTGAGCTCGTCCAACAGTAGAACCGCCTCTTTCACGACACTAGGATCCGCCATGGTGCTTTTTGACAAAGGGGAGGGGGGGGGATGGTATGGTGGGAGGATTGGGGGATGACTCAAAAAGCCAAGGCCCTGATACTTATGCCCCCAGGGCCAAATGAACCAACCTCTGACTCACGCCATCGATAAGCGAATGGCCCCCAATTCCAGGTAAAATTTATGTTCATTTATCTCGATTAAAAAGGCCACTAACTCAATTTTATTACCGCATCAGGATCTGAACCCTGCACGTAATCCATCAATGGGTCTCTCTCATGCGAGGTTACAGGTTCCGGTGGATCTGCCGAGTGGGGCCGAAAGGGCGCCGATCGGTATTGGTGCTCCATTCGCCGGCCCGCCATGGTATGTAAATTACACATTACATCCCAACATGATTGGATATCTTTTCACTTCGATAATCAGTATTCAGTTTGCTCCAAGGTTTACTGAATCTGAACTGAATATGTCCATGGTCATCACGGGAGAAGATGCGATACTTACAGATTTCTAGTCACTGGACTGCCCTATAGTAGTTCAATATATCCTGCTAATAGCAATCAGATTGGAAGCGTGCGGAGCACTATCACTTGGCCTTTAAATCACAATCTTTTATCAGGATATAGAGAGAATTATCGTATACCAAAAGCGATGACGACGTTCGGTGTTCACATATTGTCTCACGCCCTTATTCTTAGGAGAGCACATTATAAAGAAGTTGCCTGCAAGGTCAGAGCCTTCCGGGACTAGGTCAAGAAGGAGGGTTTAAGGACTCAGGAACTTGCACCAGGTTCTCGTCGCAAAACGACTAACTAAAGGAGTGTCGACATTCGATTGCCGTGACAAACTCAAACTTCACCCCACCCTGGAAGGAAAATGAGATAGATAAAGAAAGTTAGGACGAAGACCCTACTAAGGAGCAGCGGAGGTTTAAAACGGACAAGAAAGAGGTTGTTCCAGAGAAAGAAGGGTGGATTTTAGCCCATTAGATGCACAATAGGCAAACAATTTTGCACTAAATAAACTAGTCTCTTTAAAACCAGCAAGCTACTAAATAGATACCTTTTAACTAAGGCTTTCGTCAAAGAAAATTGACAGTCGTAAACGAAATACCCAAACATATAGGTGATAACCACATATTTTATGCAGTCACGAGTCTCTGCTCTATTTGCATTGTCTAGGGCCTATTGGGGGCCCATAAGCAAAGCCTACAGCCAATCGTGGGCTCAAAGACTGGGCCCAAAGCCCAACCCATTTGCGGGTTGGGCTCGGGTTGGCGTGGGCGTTGGCGAAGTCTAGTAGCTATCTTATTACCTGATTTCGTAGAGCTCTATAACAACGCGGAGCTAGTAGGTTGGTTTTTTATCCCAAGAACAGAAAGGTGTGCCGTCTCTGAATAGAAAACTTACAAGTCGCTAACTTTGATAACCTGGGCCATTATAGCTGATTTCGAAGGTTGTCGAGAGAGCTTCCTCATGTTTGGGAGATAGGAGTATCGAGATTACTCGTGCGATAAACAAGAACCACATGGATATGGGCAAGTTTTCTCTTAAAGACCCGGAGTATCGCAAGGTCGATCGATCAAGCTCGGAAGCATATTGGAAAATGTTCAACCACGCAATCCCAAGTTAGGCAAATGGTATCTGTCACTATGGCGGAATGATTAGCCAGCCTATAAACTCACGGTGCAAGAAGAATCTCTGAGGACCAAAGGCAGCTAACGGCAGGAGTTTTCACCTATCAAAAGCGACCTGAATTGCCAAAATTCTTTCATAAACAAGATGACAGTCTAGCTACAAATTCTGGAAGCGATCGGCTCCACGAGCATTCGCCGAGTACCATGTACACCAGAGGCTGCCTTAGAGTGCACCAAAAACCGCAATGGGGTCGGGTTTTGGGGCCAAGTTCAGAAATCGCAATGATTCTTCGGGCCCCAATGGTTTTTAAAGTGGGGTATGATCTATACGCTAAATCACGTGCGTAGATTTTTTTACTGGATTATATGGTTTTTTAAGAGACTTTATCGAGCTATTTTTGGATTTTTATGCAATTTGATGCAAAATTGGGTTATTGCGATTCCCCATTGGGGAACCGCAGTGGTTTACGGGTTGGGTGCGGTTTGCCCCCAATTGCGGCTTTTGGCGCACTCTAGGCTGCCTTTTCCAGGTAAATCTTTTGATCTAAAATCACAAGCTTGACGATCGATACGAACTCGAATTCATAGTTCCTATTATAACAGGAACCTTCCCCCATCCTTGGCCTTCCACCATCTTTTATCCTTACTATCTTCGGGGTTGTCGAAGGTCTTCATAACAGATTGCAAGCACTTTTCGTCAATAACCAGACATGCAGTGGACCGAGAAACGCGTACAACTGTTGCTCAGCCGGTCAAAAAGAGAAAATGTGCATAGAGTCGTAAAAAGTAGACTGGCTGTATATCCTGTAGCCGAAGAAAAAGGAACTGCGGTAAGCAAATGCCGTCATGTATACAAACTCCCTGCGAAATAAGTGACAAAATTTTTCCTTCACCAAGAATGCCTTGCTCATAGAAAACTCCAGGCCAGTATTGCTTGTGCAGTGATTTATAATGTGAAGGCTATGAAATTTCAGCCCTTCGACCAATAGCTATGGCACCGACCACCACAATGCCTTCGCGTCCTTCTACATGCAGTACAGAGATCAATTCTCACCCGTCGCACGCAGAAAATTGACGCGGGGATCAGAACCTCTCAACTGAGAGCAACCAATTAGTTTAACTGAAATTGACCGCGGTTAATTCTTACCAACTATAAGTCGAGAAACCCAAATGTCCGGAAACAATACATGGTCATCGAGCGGCGGCCGGTCTATACGTGACATTCGCCACTAAGGCGCCCGAGCCGCCCTTGCAATTAGCAGTCCATGCCAATGCAGGAGGTTTCGTCGTATTAGCCCTAAGGGCCTCAAAAGCAGACAATCCCATCAATGCGTCAATGCCTTCAGGAAATGGGCATTCAGAACATACATTATGCTCTGGAAGGCTAGAACATAGCTATTGCCCCATTTAAACCGGTACGGTAGATTGCTAGTTAACGATGGTGGTAGTGACTCCTATTGGATAGGTGGAGTTCAGTAAAATGAAAGAGATTAAAGCAATAGGGCAGCAATTTACTAATCATTGGAGAAATGTTCGGTGTCTCTGCGATGCTGATTTGTAGATATAGAATAAACCTATTATGAACACGATCCCCACAGGTTCCTACAAACCAACGGTACAAGTCTGAAGAGGCTGTAGCTACAGTGATGTATGATAACTTCCTTTCGAAATCGATGCAGTGCCCGGAGAAGGATTCCGGCTTTCTAGAAGGTACTCTACTTACATTGGGCTATTCCTAGAATCATGGTGCTTCCCTTCGCTAGTTGATTAAGAGGCAAGGGTAATTTTGGGCGCTGAAGAATCTCTGCCCCTGAGTAATAAAACCAATTTCTTGAACTCATTTACAACGTCTTGTGAACATGGGAAGCCTTACAGTTGGCTTCCTCTAGGAAAAGTATTCCAGCTTGTGGTTAGCTCGAGGGATATAGCTTGCTTCTTTGGGACTGATACCTACCCGCGTTCAATGCAAGTTTTCTATACGACTCAATCACGCTGAATGATGTATCAACTCTTATTGTACATTAGCATAGACACGTGCTCGTCACGGTAGTTCGATAAACCGTCTGGCTTCGTTTGCTGGTGCCTCGAAAATCTTCGGCGCTTCATTCTGAGCCTGTCCGTTGTAGGACTTTGAATCCATCACGGGCTGTGTTTGAGACGTGACAGGATTGCTCTCATTGACCTGCGTTGAACTCCTAGACCTGCGGCGGACAAAGAAAAATAGCGCGAGAGCTGCAACAAAAGCACCCCCGAGTCCGACACCCACTCCCACGCCGATTTTGGTACCATCTGATAGTCCGCTATTTCCCTGGCTAGTATGACTTGCATTAGTGGTCGTAGCGACCGCTTGAGTTGTAGTTGAGGAGGGGCTCAAGCTAAGAGTAGATGCCGTGGCCAGTGTAGTTGAAATAGCAGAACTCGATGTGGCTAAGGTTGCTGAGTCATCTTGAGTGATGTTGAAGTAATGACTGGCGAAGAGTTCATTCAGGTCGTCAAGATTCGAAGCATTGCGGACTTGGAAGAAAAATACTTCTCCGTTGCTCAAGTTTCTATTCGTTGACACGATCCAGTCATAAGAGGTGACGTCGTGAAGGTTGGCTGAGAGTGTTTGACAGTGTTAGGAAGTTGCAAGAGATCAAGGCCTAAATGGGTGACCTACTTTGCACCCATTCAAAGTCTGAATTATCATTTTGCCATATCATGATTGAAAAGGTATCCAACGTAGTATCCCAGCGCAACTGCACTGTCTCCCCCAGGGTGTAAACCGGATTATCCTGGTACTCATGAATGGGACCTCCCGTCGGTGGATTGTAGAAGATCCCCGGTTCCGCAAAAGTAATGGCGCATCTTAACAGGAGGATCAAAAATAGCTTCATGAAGGAAACCAGGAGATGAAGACACCGAGTGAGTAGGTAGGATAGAGCCGTCGGACAGAGTTTGTGCAAGGGCTGAGTCTCAGCCCTTAGGAGGTGACTTAGGGAAAGGGGGTCCCAAAGCACTAACTGATTCACTAACTAGACCCTTCTTAGTTAGTCTGTCCAAAGTCCCTCAACACCGATGCAAGAGAGCAACCACAGGACTTGCTTCGAATGATCTAATATGGCTGTGCGTAACTTAGCTGAAAATAGTTAGAACTCAGGACTTGCATACCACTTGATTCGAGCCTCCACCAAATATGGCCCCGTAAGAGTCCGTCTCCCGCGGCGATCGACAGGCCCGAATAGTATCATGAGCCGGCCCAATCGCACGCTAAAGCCTAGCGCTTTTGTGGATGTAGTGCCCATACGGGGGATCATAGCACAAGCCCCCACCCAGCGTTGATTGGGCGAACGGAAACTCAATCCAGAATGTAAATTTACCCTTGGTTGCATGGATACTTTGAGATATAAAAGTGTGCTCTCGTGGTAGCTTTAGAGGGAAAAGATTCGACCCCTACGTGTTTTCGGGAGTGCTCTCGTAGTTTACGCGCGAGATGAGGGAGTTGCCGAAACGTGCCATGGGTGACTAGGGCGGCGGCGCGGTCCACTCGACAAGGGTATAAGGCACTATCTGACTAGCGCTGCATTACTGACTGCAGTGTGATTAATACTGCCGGTTGTTGCGGCCCCTTTCAGAGAGGCTGTCTTGGAAGCTGGATTGATTTAATGCTGGCTTTCACGCCTGATCGAAGGCATTCAATGCGGCTCCTCCGGGACATGACAATGCCGTCTGGCGTCCACAGGTTGCTCTCATACCGTCAGACCTCGTTCGTACTTTCCACCGTGCTCCTCGTTGGTTGTTGGCTTTTTTTCGCTCCCTCTATTTGTCCCCAACGCGCGAATCTGCTTCGGCATCCGTCTTTCCAAAGACTCCCCCGCATCCAGAAGAGGGCGCAGGCAACGGGACATTAGGAGTAAGCCATTCTCTTGACTACATTGTTCGGTTCACTTGCTGACACAACGAAGTTCCAACAGATACTTGCTTTATCCCACGGTGCGTCATGGCGCACTCGGGGCCTTGTCGCCGCCGCTAGATTGACCGGGCTTCAAATCACGATTCCCCCGCAGCCGCCAACACACCCAGATCTCATCAACGCATTTGCTCTTCTCGGTCCCCATAAGCAAGAGAAAGATCACCCTACCCCCGGTGGCAGCCGGGCTTGGCTTGCGCACCTTGATCTGATCAAATTTGCCTACCAATCCAACTTTCAAACGACCCTTATCATCGAGGACGATGTTGACTGGGATGTATCGCTCAGAGCACAAATGAAAGATATTGCATCCGCAGTGAAATCCCTGACAAAGACCACTCAAGATGAAGGGGGGCCGTACGGTCGCGGCTGGGATGTCCTTTGGATTGGCCATTGTGGAGAATACTGGCAAGAAGGATTCGAGACTGTTTTCTTTGATAATGATGCAGTGTGCCCACATGCGGACTACACTGGTTGGGCACATCAATACCTGTCCCGCATACCTGACGGAAAGCGAGCTGTATATTGGTCCGATAACCCAGTCTGTTCGTTCGCTTATGCGTTGTCTCATGATGGTGCCAGAAAAGTGTTGGAGCTAACTGGAGCTGGTCAAGGCGAGGCATTCGACGTCAAGATGATGGGTGAGTGCAAGGCTGGAAATCTTAGGTGCATCTCTGTGGCCCCAGAAGTCATCCACCAATATTTCCCGCCTGAGGAATACAGGTTAAAGAGCTTGGTGGATATCGGCAATGGAGAAGCACCAGGGCCGGAAGATGCTGTTTTCGAATCTATAAAGGGCACTACGGAGAACATCCTACATAGTGCACGTTGCCAGGCTCTCTGGGGCGAGACCTGTCTCAAAGCGAAAGCCTCTTGAGGACTTCAAATTTCATGTGTGCCTTAGACTTCGATATTGAGCAATTCATGTGTGTGGCATTACTTCATTACTACAACTCAGCTAATCATCTTTCAGATCCATTCAAACCCTAACGTTTCCTCTATTATTCTACCTGTGTACTTAATGCGCGACTGCACTCCCTTTTTAGTCAAGGTAAGTTTCGGCGGGCTTTGTGTGATCAATAGATCAAATATCTCTCACCCGCCGAACAACCCCGAGAAAAAAACGATCGGAAAGGCTCTTTAAACCCTTCTTTTTCACCAAAGAGAGGTAACTGCTCACTAAATCAGGTAGGGCTATACTTAGGTAGCAAGAGAAAATTTAACAAGCTGATCTCTCAATTAGTTATATGACTCCTAATATTGCATATTTCTAGTCACGAATTATTACTTATAAGCTAATATAAATAGAGACGTCTTTATCTAATAGCACCTTTTTCAAGCACTAGTGTTGGATCGTGCTCCGTCTACATTTTGTCTTCCTATTGCACTAGATTGATCGTATAAGAAAAGCAAGAAGAGCGGGCCTCTACGGCGATTCCTTGTTTTTCCCAAATGTGAAAAGAGATATTCCTCTACCAAGGGTGACTGTTCAGTTGAAGAACATTCAGGTGGGTGAAGGTCCGCCCGGATTTTCCTGAAGAGGGTTGAATAGAGCGGCGAGCCGCCCACGCCAGAACCGTGGCCGCTAGATGACCACGGTCATACAAATGCTGTTGTATGTTTTTATTTTTATTTTTGTGGTTTCCTATACTTTTTACGTCCGATAGTGAGAAACATGTTTTTCATCTAACTTATAGGATCTCCGAGCGTGGATCGTGCAAGACAGATTTCCCCGGCTTAGCGGCGTAACTATGAGGTGTGACCAAAGGGTTGATGTCCGCCGTGATTGGCTTGTACTTGAACAGGCAATCGGGACGCTGTAGGTCGCCCCAAATACCATAGCTAAATCACTCCATGCTTTGTCACTCAACAGTGAACCGATTCAGTATCCAACACGACGACTCACCCAGATGTTTTCGATCAAACCGGCAAAGCTTTCGATTGCTGAGCATGAAAAGTACAACATGGCTTTATTTGGTAGGTGCTAACTTGACGCAGCCGCGGTCATAACAGAAACCAATTGTATAAGGTTAGCTGATCTATATATACCCTCTGCTAATGGTCCACACCAGTGTGTTCTCCAATCTACACATATCTTTTGCACTTCATGACTAATCTGTCCAGAACTTTCCCGTCTGCGCTCATTCCTTCATCAGTGGGCATTACCGACCCTATGCTGGCAGATCCCTGCACGTCAAATCCTCACTCCTGCTCGCCACCAAGGCACCAAACTCGTTCAGCGACGCGCTCTGGAGGATATCAAATACAGTGACTTTAGCCTTTGCGCCGCTGCTCAGCCAGTTGCGTAGTTCCACAGCGACGAGAGAATCGACGCCGTAGCGCGACATCGGCAACTCGGCGTCAATATCCGAGAGGGGAATATTAAAGATTTCTGCGATCTTGGCCACAATCGCCTGGACCAGCAATGCCACGGCCTCGGTGAGAGTCGAGGCCTTTGAGAGTGCTTGCGCGAGCGCGGCCGTAGAGGTCTTGCTGGTGGATGTGGTTGCTGCCTCGATTCCACGCTGGCTAGCAATACGGAGCGTACCGAAGCGCCTGTCATGGCTCATGACTGACTCGCTGGCAAGGGTGTGGAAGTTGGGCCCAACAACGACCTGGCTCTGCGATGGCGAATGGCGCAGAGGCTCACTGATTCCATGCCCAACCATCCGCAATACATGATCCAGGTCGACGGAGCCAAAACCGACATTCTCGACTCGTGCCCGCAGCCGGTCGTCGCCACTGGCTTCTCTATCTGCCACGTACCCAACCGACTTGACAGCACCGAGGTCGATGGTCACGGCTGGTAGACCGCGTGCCGTTCGGTATCGAGCAAGGGCATCCTCAAAGGAGTTGCCAGCAGAATAGTTGGCCTGGGACATGTGGCCGGCCACACCAGCCACGGATGACAGCATGACAAAGAATGCAAGGTTGGGAAGATGCGTATGGAGATTCCAGCTACTGTTGATCTTCGGCCGGACAGCATTGATCCATTGTTCGAATGTCATGCGCTCCAGGACAGTGTCGTCGAGTACCATGGCTCCATTGACCACTCCGCGGAACGGGGGCAATGTCTCCGAGCAGTCACGGATCAGTTGGAGCAGACTCGCCTCATTTGAAACGTCACAATCGTGGATCTGAAGCCGGCATCCTGCTGTCTCGGCCATCTTGGCAAGCTGAGGGGCTTCAGGATGGGATGTGGCATGGCGTGAGACGAGCACTAAGTTCTTCGCACCGTTTTCAATCATCCACGGCGCAATGGCACGACCAATACCACCTAGTCCACCGACAATCAAATAGGTCTCACCAGGGCTATCCAGTGAGACGGGTGATGGGCGGCGGATGAACTGTTGAACACTGATCAGCTCAATTCGCGAAAGGAAAGAAAAGGCAATCATTACGTACTTTGATTCTATCCTCATCATGCGGTACGAGGACCAGCTTGCCCATGTGCATTCCTCCTTGCATTTGACGCATGGCCGTGGCCATCTCAGAGATTGGGTACGGCGTAACGGGGTGTACAGGAGAGATTCCACGCTCGTGGACGATATTGAGACTCTCCACCAGCGCCGCGTGCGTCAGTCTGCCACGATACTCAGTAAGCTGCAACAGGTCGAAACTCGAAAACATGGAACAGCGGCTGAATGGGGCTGTCTGTAACCAGCGGTTGGCCTCCATGTCCACCTTCGTGATATCAACAAAGCGGCCGAAGCGGGCCATGCAATCCCAAGATACCTTCAACAGTGGTCCAGACAGAGAGTTCAGAATTACATCAACTCCCTTGCCGTTTGTTTTAGTCATGATACCCTCAGCAAAGCTTCCAGAACGGCTGGCGAAGATATGATCAGGCTTGATGCCGTAGTGTTCGACGAGAAGGTCTCGCTTCGCTTCAGTGCTGCAGGTAGCGAAGACCTCTGCTCCAACATGCTGCGCAATGACGATCGCGGCTTGGCCAGTTGCACCGGATGCAGCATGGATGAGCACTGATTCGCCCTTGCGAAGTCCTGCCAGTTGAACTAGACTGCCATAAGCCGTGGTGTAAGCCGCTGGGAATGAGGCTGCCATTTTCCAAGGCATCTCGTCCGGCAACTTGACGACCGAAGTCCAGTAAGTTCGTCCCTTGCTCGCAAGACGGCCCTTGCACAGTGCTGCGACGCGGTCGCCAACCTTCAAACCGCTTTGCTCCGTATTGGGACCTAGACGGGTTATGATGCCGGAGCACTCGTAGCCCGTCAGGGGCTCTTCCAGCTGGCCCAGCGCAACCATCACCTCACGGAAATTTAGGCCAAAAGCTCTTGCCTCAACTTCCACCATCTCACTTGGCACATCCGTAGTTAGGATCACCGGATTCTCCACGAAGTATGGGTCCAGGCCTGTGCTCGGCGACGTCTCCCAGACCAAAGGCTTGTCAGGCTGATGGAATGCTTCAAGCGCAGGCTCAAGAGGAAGTTTGAGATTTCTGGCAATGGCATCCTGAGTTTTCTCAGGGAAAATCCTGGGTACATGAAGCTGGGAATCTGCCACTGAGTACTCCCATTCAATGTTGCCTGTCTCAGTGTCCTTGTCGAATGACCGCTCCAACACATGAACAACGTGTCTAATCTTGCCGCTGGTCCACGTATCCTCGTCATTTTCAAAGTCCAATCGGATCCATCGTGTGTGAGAATCCTCTTGTCTCATGGTTCGCAGAAGACCCTCCGAAGCCGAGAAGGCTGGGTTCTGGGAATGAACAAGGCCACCACAGCTGAGCCAGAGTAGGCCACTGGAGAGTAGGAGAAGGCTCTTGAGCTTTTGGAAGGCGTCTGCATCCATGCTGTGCACAAACGGATTTTCCATCTCAAGCGCAACGATGCAGACTGTGTCTTTAAACGAATCAACGTCACTCAAGTCCACAAGCTTTGGCAAAACGCCCGTCTTCTCTTGAATTGCGTCGGATAGCTCTGCCAACCACTCCTGGGGCTTCTCCGCTGTCTTGTCCTCAACCACAATAGAGATGGGCGCTTGCACTGTTGTGGAAGTCCTCGATAGCATGACACGCGCTGACTGGAATTCAGGTTCCTCATAGTCGCTGATTTCAAAGTCAACGCCAGTGAATCCAGTATCCCGCAGGACGCGATCCCACATCTCGAGTGGAGCATTGGGACTCTTCTGCCGCTCAGGCTCTTCTCCAAGCCACCACCCTGGCAGGGTACCGAAGATAAGCTGGCCTTCAAGACGATCGGCAGTAGCCTCGATGAGCAACAGCGTGCCACCTGGCTTGAGCATCTTCCGCACATGCTTCATGGTCGTATGAAGGTTCTTGGTCGCATGAAGCACAGAGGCCGCCACAATGAGATCGAAGCTGCCAGAAGTAAAGGATTGTGCGAGCGGGTCAATTTCGATGTCGAGTTTCTTGAAATCCATCATTCTTGCCCACGGGGCAAACTTCTCCCTTGCAGCCTCAAAGAATCCTGGCGAAATGTCTGTAAAGGTATAATGACCGAGGATAGTACCGTTGTCAGCACCCCTCTTGCCGAAAGCCTCAAGGATCGTACTCGTCGCTCCTCCTGTACCGCCTCCAATCTCCAAAATATTGGCACCAGGATTCTTCACCGCGTATAGCTCTGCAACCTGAGCGAGATGCGAGTAGGATCGGGTCTTAAGAGCCTCATGCTGCATGTAAAATTGATTCAGGAGATCACCTTCCATCATCAGCTCCAGCGGCATAATGTCTCCGCGGATGATACTCGCGAGCTTTTCTCCAATCCGAACAGTGAGTCGACCGGCCGCATTCCCTGCGCTTAGCTCGTCTGCCAGGATCCTCTTCGCACCTGGGCTTAGTTTAGACCATGTCTGACTGTTGGGTGCGAGTTGTCCGGCTTCACCAAGTGTCACAACCTCTCTCATCCAAGCGTACAATCGCTTGTGGTGCCATTCCCAGGATTCGGACTCCTGGGGTTCAAATTCCGCGGCGGCATCATGGATGAAGATATAGGACATCCGGGTCAGTTTCTTCTCTTGCTCAATCTCATGTTCTTTCACTGGAATGACCATTGATTCTCTAAAAGAGGCGGGAGGGTTGTGAAGGATATCCAATTCCCAGCAGTTAATGGAGCAGATACCCGCCTCCTCGTCTGAATCTTGGATACGACGAGGAATTGCCGAGCCAAAGAAATTCTTGATTTCAAGGAAAGAGCTGGTTTTATCGGAAATATCAGACACGACCGTTATGTCTGATGCATAGCCACGTGTATCTCCTGTGACCATCTTAGTCAAAGCTCTCAACCTTTCACCACCTTGTCTCTTGAAATTCTTCGGAACATCGATTGTACGAATCGAACGAGGAAGAACCATGGAATCCTGCCCAATATCATCTGGCAGGCTGCTAAACGACGACTGCAGAATGGAGTCCAGCGTAGTAGGATGCAGAACATACTCATGCTCCTGACAAGCGATGTCTGAGATTGCGAAATTTGTAATTGCTCTGTTATGAGCTGCGTGACTGTCAATGATATTCTGGAAGAGTGGACCGTGGTAGATTCCGCGCTGCCGCAAACCAGCGAAAAGTGAATCAATGTCGACAGGGTATGGATCAACACCATCGGCAAAAAAGGTATCTTCGCGTGAAATCTCGCGCTCATCATTGACCGCGGTTATTCGAGTCTCGCTCTCTGTTTCCACGGCGACATAACCTTTGCAGTGCTCAATCCACGGTGCATCGGCACTCGCTAGAGAGCAGAGTTCGAATTGATACCAGCCTTCGTGGTCAAGCTCTCTGTCGCTGCAACGACGCAGCTGAAGTTGCACTTCCACTCCCATTTCAGAGTCGGGAAGCACCAACGCATTCATAATGTCAATATCTCGCAGCCGGTACTTCCGAATTGTGCTCTCGGAAGGATCAGTGATAAGCCGTATGGCCTCAATAGCCATGGCAATGTACCCGGCGCCTGGGAAAACAACTGTACCATCGATCTGATGGTCTTTGAGCCATTCAATCTCCGAAAGACGGAGGAAGTTCCTCCAAGTGGGAGTGAGAGCGTTCGATCCATTCAGAGGAGTACCTAGTAGCTCATGAGGAGGGAATTTCTTGAACCGCTGCTCTTTGGCAATCCTTGGCTCCACCCAGAACCGAGTTGAATGATTCCACGGATAAGACGGCAAATTGGCCAAAAATATATTGTCAGCATCCCCCATAGGAGAGTTGACTGACTTCAGATCCACAGGATAGCCCTGAGACAACAGCTCACAGGCGAGGTCTTGCATTGTCTCCACGGCATTGATTGGTCGCCTGAGACAAGACACATAGGGCATTTTAACATCTTTTTCCTTAAGGATCTGGCGAATTGGACCGGCCAAGGTGCTGTGAGGCCCGATCTCTAAAATAAGATCAACATTGGCAGAAGGAACTGAAGATTCCGATGAGCTGAAGCACATGTTCTCAAATGCCTGACTGAATTGAACCGGCTTGGTCAGATTCTGAACCCAGTGTTCGGCCCTGAATGTCTTGACTGCAGTCACAGCCTCACCCGTTACCGGGGATACAAAAAGGGGGCCATCCCATTCCGGAGTCACGGGAAGGTCAAGCAATTCCTCCAGTCGTTCGGTATATTCAGCCACCATAGGCATCATGTGGTGGGAGTGATAGGCCATGGGGACCTTGAGCTTCCTGGTGAATACTCCCTCTTTTTCGAACCTAGCAGCAATCTCGTCGAGAGTGTCCAAGTCCCCGGAGAGGGTAACGCTGCTGGGGCTGTTAACACAAGCCACGACGACACCGCCGGTAGTTGCGATATCAGCAATGTGTCGCTCAGCACTCTGTTGGTCGATGCCTACGGCAAGCATTCCACCTGTAAGGGGGGGACACTTTGAGTTGCTTGCGGGCTAGCTCGCCACGGTAATATGCCACACCGAGTGCCTGTTCAAAAGGCAGCGCTCCAGCTGCATATGCCGCGGCAATTTCACCACTGGAATGGCTGGTGATGGCAGAAGGAGTGATGCCCCAGGACTTGAGCAGATCGACGAGGCCGAGCTGAATGGCGACGCTAATCGGTTGACTCAAATGGATTTCGGATACCTGAGTCGAGGTTTCATCGCGATTGAGTTCATCTGAAAACTTATTGTGAGCAAGCTTCATGTTGGAGATTGGATTCAGGTCTTACCGATCAATGACCAAGAGGCCCCGTATTCGTTCAGGATCTTGCTGGCATTAGATATAGCATGGCCAAAAACAGGGTACACAGTAAGAAGCTCTCTAGCCATTGCATGCCATTGGGCACCCTGGCCATTGAACACAAAACCTAAACGTGGCTTTTTATACGCAAATGAGGGCTTACGTTCCGACTCTCGAAGTCGTTCAGCCAGGTCTTTGATTGACGTGGCCCGGACAGCAGCAACCCAGGGGTGTAGTGATCGACGCTCATTAAGCGTATAAGCAAGACTGTCTGGCGATGGTGACGTCTCAATAATATGAGAAGCAAGACGGTCCATCACGGTCCGACAGGCAGCAGAGTCCCTCGCGCTGACCACGAAAACGCGCGAGTTATCCCCCGATTGACTTCCTTCAGGTGCCGACTGTCCATTCGTGTGATGAATTGCTGTTGGGGGTGGCGCAGGCTCCAATATGACGTGAGCGTTCGTTCCACCGTACCCAAAGTTGTTGATTGAAGCGCGAAGGATCTTGTCTTCCGGCCATGGCATCAATCGTGTCGGCACCTCCAAATGGCCCTTATCAAGGTCAATGCTTGAATTCGGAGTCTCATAGTTGAGGTTTGGAGGGATCGACGCTGTTTTCAACGCAAAGGTAGTCTTGATGACGGCTGCAAGCCCACTGACGGGCTCGGTGTGGCCAACATTTGTCTTCACAGAGCCAACCCGTACCTTGTCACTTGCCTGGCGAGCTTTTCCAAAGGTTCTCCCAATTGCCTCGGCCTCAATGGGATCCCCAGCTGCTGTGCCGGTCATGTGCGCCTCCACGTAGCCAGTCTGAGAGATATCAAGCCCTGCACGACGGTAGCATTGTTCAATCAATTTGACCTGGGCGTCGGCAGATGGGGAGGTAATTGTGGTCGTCTTCCCGTCTTGATTGACCCCGCTGTCCTTGATGACAGCATGGATTTGGTCACCAGCGAGCAGCGCGGCATCCAAAGGTTTGAGGATGAGTGTCGCTACACCCTCGCCACGGCCGTAACCGGCAGCACGTTTGTCCCAGGCGAAGCATTTACCTTCGGAGCCAATGGCACTATCATGACTTTCTGTCAGTCACGCTCTAGTGGAAGAGATACATGCAATTCTCAAACTCGCACTTACCCAATAGTGGATGCCGAAATGAAGGCATCTTGACTCAGGAGTGTACTAGAAGCACCGACGATTGAAATGTTACTCTCTCCAGTGCGAATGCTTTGACATGCTTGGTGAACTGCCACCAAGCCCGACGAACAGCCCGTGTCGATAGAAAGACTTGGTCCTTGCAAATCAAAGAAGTGCGAGACGCGGTTGGAGAGCATTGCGGTGCCTGTGCCGGCGAGAAAGGAGCGGGTCAAAACCTCGGCATCCTTGGTCTGGATTTCATGGTAATCTTTGTTGAATGTTCCTGTATAGACCGATGTATTGGTGCCAGCGAGCTTGTCCAAAGGGATGCCAGCTAAGCGGGTCAGCTTATCCGACAATTCTTGACAGAAGCACAAGGGACAGGAGCTAACCATCTTCTGTTGCTTCGTAGACAGTCTCGAGCAACAATCTGGCTTGAGGGTCAAGACCCTTTTTCTCGGCGTCAGCTTCTTCGACACTCGGGGCATAAAAGGGGTTCTGCTTACACTAGCGACATCTGACGCTAAATTGAAAAAGGCGGCATCAAAGCAAGCGATATCATCGTCCAGAAAGTAACCACCAATAACATGGCTCTGCATATACGTCAGCACCCATTGGCTTTACGTGCGTTTTATAGAATGGAAAACTTACTCTGCCAGCTTTTGAATTATCTGGATGGTACAGCGACTTCACATCAAAGCGCGAATCAGGGATGGGAGACCAGCCATCCTTCCCATTTGCGCAGAGTTCCCACAATTGGGAAGGGTTCCTGACGTTCCCACTGAAGCGGCAAGCCATGCCAACAATCGCAATAGGAATTGAGGGTGCATGTTGCCGTGGCAATTCTCTGCCATTCATGGTAGCTCCGTTGGTTCTGGGGGAGTCGCCTGGTTGAGTTGTGTCAGGGTTGGGAATTGGAGCCATGTTCAGTAGCTTAAGATAACGTGTATTTCACAGCTTATTTACTTGGGAATCTAGGCAGTCCCGGGTTTGGCAAGACTTGAACACAGTCAATATGATATTATATATATACTGACTCTGTACACTAGTGATAATTTTGCGACTTGGGGGCGAATCTTAGAAGCATTCTATTCCGATTCGTTTATCAAAGCCTTGTCATCCTCTCTCTCGTAGTACTCGTGGTGGAGTTCCGTGAGCACTGCGCGTGGACTTCCCAACACGGTGTCTTTCTCAGCTTCGGATTTCCCAAAGAGGAAACATCCGAGTCTGAACATGCGGGTGCCTATCCAGCAGCATTTTTCAACCGAGCAGTAATAATGAAATAATGGCGGCTCTTCCTTTCCTCTTACCACTTGCTCGGATATTTCCATACCTGACGGCTGAACGGATGGCAATAGCGGAATGCACCTATAGATTTTTGATGCCGTTTTGTACAATTGTTAATTCATATATTCAAAGTCGAAATTTGGCATCTATCAAATTTTCTTACTTTCCTACACTGGTACTGCTAGAAAGAAATATGGATATACTATCATTGAACCATCTACCTTTGGTTGCAATCGTCCTCGCATTTATACTCTACTATGTTTCCAAGAGGGCATATCCAAGCCCATATCCAGGCATTCCATTCAATGCTACCTCAGCAAACAAGTTCTGGGGCGACTCGTCGGGGCTGCTCGACGCTGTCAAGATAACCCAGGACCCAGCGAAATTCATCTTCCAACAAAACAGGAAGCTCAACTCGCCCGTGATTCAGCTCTTTCTGGCGCCCCTTTCAAATCCCACCATCATTATTGATGACGTTCGCGAGGTCAAGGATATTCTAAGCAACCGCACGCACGAATTTGATCGCGCTCCCAGAACACAAGACGCTTATCGCTCACTTCTTCCACATTGCAGTTTGGTCAAAGCAACAGGGCCTGCATTCAAACACCAGAGACGCTTTTGGGAGGGCGTTACCGGCACGCCTTTCCTACGACGCGTCGCTGAGCCGAAGATGTACCGATGCGCTCTGGGGCTAATCGACCTACTCAGAGCTCAGGCCAAAATGGCCGGTGGTCGACCATTCTACTGCTTTGACGACTTCGATGTAGCCGCGTTCGAGCTAATATGGGAACTGGTATTTGGGACAAATGTGGACGCCATCAAAAATGCACGCAACAAGGTCCTCTGCCAAACCTCTGACACGGCCCAACCACCATCACTGAATTCGCCGGCTCGGATACCAGTAATTCAGAAGCCTGATATGTGCGAGGCCGTGTCGTTCTTTATAAGCACAGTGGCAAAGTCGCTAAAGTCAGTCTCCCAGACGTGGCACCTTTGGTATCTCAGACAGCAACCCGTCTACAAGCGGAAATTAGCTTTCAAAAACAGCACCATTGACGGGCTTATTGAAAAAACCCGCTCAAAGCTAGCAGGGCTCTCCGAAGGTCAACTGATGGAGCTTGAAGAGAGCTCTGCCCTGGTCACTGGTGTACGGCGTCAGCTTTTGGCACACATACGTCAGGGGCAACCCGTCAACGTCCCATTTCCGGCATCAGTTCAAGCTGAGATTCATGATGAACTGTTTATGATTCTCGTCGCTGTAAGTCCATTACCCAATGTGCCAATTACCCAATTGTTAGGCAGATAGCTGATGCCCAGGAAACCAAAGGGACATGAGACAAAGGCAGTTCTCCTCTCCTGGTCTGTAAAGTTTCTGATAGCCAATCCCGAGAAGCAGGAAAAGTTACGAAAAGCTCTTGTTGATGCGTTGCCTAAAGGTTCAAATGGAGAGCAGCCTTCAGTGAAATCTATCCTAAGCACGTCGATCCCATATCTGGAAGCATACATGGAGGAATCCATGCGCGCGGCGAACACGTCTCCTCGTCTCGTTCGGAGAACTACCACTGATACCCAGGTGCTCGGATACTCAATTCCAAAGGGCGTTACTGTAATTCTCAATCCTTATATCGGTACACAGCCCCTCGATATCCCTGAGCATTTGAGATCCGAGACTTCCCGTAACTCCAAGGGTAACTTCGAATCATACTGGGATGTCAACGGCATGGATGATTTCCAGCCAGAGCGGTGGCTTGCAGAAGACGGCTCTTTTAACCCTCGTCAATTTCCACGTCTGGGATTCTCTGCGGGTCCACGTATGTGCTATGGTATGTGAACTTTACTATCATGCCCACAGTCGGCCCTTCGTTCGGACACTCCATAAGTAGGACAGGAACCTTAGCTGACGCCGATGTGTATCTCTAGGCAGAAATCTCGCGTTGATGGAATTTCGCGTAAACCTCGTGCTTCTAGTCTTGAACTTCAAGTTCGAGTCTCTTCCCAAAGACTTGGACAGCATGGAGTCTCAACAGCGACTTTTCCGAATGCCACGGCAGTGCTATGTCAGGCTCAGTCCTCTTTGAATTCGAACTGGCTTCTCAAGTAGGCTCAATATTGGTACTCAAAGAGACAGACTCAATAGAACACCAACGAGCTCCTTCGTTGCTTTGGTATTTCGCGGGAGAATTCCAAGTTTGAGGGGCCAAGGCAATTTCGAGATTTACATGAAGTCAGACGCCGCTACATAGTGGTTCCTACCGATGTGAAATGATTTCAACCGCAGCAATATCAGCTCATCAGTCATCGTGATACAGGCGGTGCTTCCACTTCGATAAAATTATCTATAGTTACCCACACAAAAGCGCGGCCTTTCCAATTTATGAATCTTAATAGTAGTTTATATGTATGAGTAGGTATTCTACCACGGCGAACCCTTGCAGAACAAAACTCGACCTCTTTGCACCAGTGAGAATTGAACAGGATATAAACTATGTCTGAATATGCTAGTAGCACATCCTGTACGGGGTCTTAGAATCAACAAGCCTGCAACTTTCTCACTTCGCCGCCTTTCCCCTGGACAAGATCTCTTTCTGGACTTCAAGGATCGACCTTCCTGAATACTTGTCCCTAGTGACCGCGTGTCTTTCTCTCCTAGACGCCAATATCTCCTCTCGCCAAATCCATCCCAGCGCCACGGGAACCACGGGGCCTGCAAGTGCGCCCGACACAAAACCTATTGTGAGTATCTTCGCCCAACTTTCTTGAGTCATCCCGGCGCTCTTGATGTCATGGATCAAGAGGCAGACCCAGAAGAGACTCGCGAGAAGGGTCCCGTATCGGTGCAACTCGGACAAATCTCCACCTGCGCCGGGCAAGAAAGCTGTCGAAAAAGCGCCCGAGAGTACGCTCTGCCGCGTAGCTATGTAAGTCGCTGCAGATACGGCACTGAGAACACATAAACACCATCGGATGCAGGGGAGATCCCGCAGCTGGTTACTCATCGTGTCCTCATGCATCGTGATTCTGCTCATTCGAGATTTTACCATTATCCACTGCGTGATCGCAATTAAACACTGTGGCTGGAGCATCCATCGCCAGTGCCACCACGCCGTATCGACCTTGATGGAGTAGCCGCCCAGGGTGAGGAAAACCGGTGCACCCATGAAGAGCACTACTGAGGGCAAGATCAACCGGGTGTAGGCCACATTGGTGAGCCTTGCATCAGCTGCCGCGAATTTCTCGATGCCTGAGAATAAAAAGTGCAGGGCATAGTAACAAGGAGCAACAACTCCTGGTCCGAACCTAAGGCCAAGGAGCCAGAAGATGGTTGGAAACTGCGCAAATGTCATCACATTGGCACGACGATTGGACTCAATGAGCCATATGGCATAAATGACAGTCCCATCAGCAAGAGCGCCTAAGATTTGAAGCAACTGTGCTCGTTCACCGAAGTCCGGGAGTTGTGTTGGCTGTAGGAATTGGCGCATAGAACCATCCACGCTGTCAATGGGCGTCATTGTCGCCATCCAAGAAGAGAGAACGAGCAATGGCAACGCAAGGGTGCAACGTTTGAACAGTCTTTCATGCTTGCCAATACCTTGACTTGGGTTGAAGGGACAGGAGCCTTCAAAAGACTGGGCTGGTACTGGTAGGTACTCAATGATCTCAGCGCCGATGAGCGTCCCGGTGACCAACCTTAGAAGCGACTCGATGGCATTTGGCACAACATAGTTCATGACGAAGGGGGCCATGCGACTGTCCAGCGCCTGCAATCGGCAAACCATCGCCGCTTCTTTCACTGTCGCGTTGACTCGGGCCTGGCGCTTCTCCTGCCACTTGCGCAAGGCTAACCTGATTGTCTCAGAGGTGACCGGCCCCTCATCATGGAGCCTTTGGAGTTGGTTTGCTAGCGCAGCAGCAGATTCAATTGCATTGTTCCCAGCTTGGCCAGTATTAGGGGTCATCTTATGGGAGTTATCCCCAACAGTCGCTATACGTCCCCAACTCCACATGTTAAAGAGGGCCTCCTCCAACGGCACCAGCGTGCAGGTCACACGCTTTTCCCAGAGGTCTCCCAGCGTCACCGTCTCAGTGATAGGTCGCCAGGCATTTTTGAGCGCAAGCTTCTTGGCATCTGCTTGAGAGTATCGTGGGAAGTCTTTGGCATCGGTATAATAGACCTTGTCCAACTTCTCATGGTAAAACCAGAACACTCGTCCATGTTTCCCAGTGATCACGAGCATAGACCTGCCGTGGTCAAAAACAGTGTCTACGGTTCCCTCGATGAGACCAGCCACGGGGTCAGATATGCCGAAGAGACAGTTGAACTCCGCACTCATTCCTGGAAAAAGTCATTAGTTGTAGTTCTTGATCCGCAGCTTTGCGCCCCTACTTGTCTCCTTCAGTGCTTGGGCGTAGCCTGGATCCTCCTTGGCAAGACGACACATCTCACTACGAGTCGATGCTTTGCTATTGACACCATCACAACCAACGACCACGTCACCATGGTAGGAAGAGCCGTCTTCACAGTCCACACTAACGCCAGAATCCGTTTGGTCGATCCGCATTACGGTCTTGTTGGGCAGCATTTTTTCTTTCCGTGCAATTGAGCCTATCAACGCCTTGAGAGCGCGTTGTCGGTC